GAAACCAGTTTCTTTTCAAGACTGTATATTTCCGGTAGTGATAACTAGTGACTTCGGCTAAAAAAGACCAGCATATTCCAAATTTACATATTATCAAATTATGACACTAAGTTGCATAAAAACACAAACCACAAATCTGCCAATGCGATTTTTATGGCCCATTAGCCTGGGATGATTTCAACTATATATTTGCATGTGTTAAAAACAAGTTAGTGCAAAGAGGCGCGTCTACTTCAAAGCAACAACATTATATAAGAAATTAAATTCGTTAAATTCGCTGCATAATTGATTTTATTAATCATGTTCTTGTCAAATTCGCCCAAAGGATTTGTTCTGGAAAACGCAAAAAAACAGAGCCTTGTCCAAGTTTTTTATGCATGCCTACCCAAGGAAAAAAGACGTGTTTTAATTCAAAACCAACTCAGCGTCTAGCTAAATTCGGCTTTTTTCTTTATTGTTCGCCCATGATGCCCTTTGAACAATGGACGCTTTTTCTGTCATGCATGGAAGACGCAAGTACGAGTATAAAACAATAACACAGCTTTCAAGGGTTGACTTTTTATTCTCAGTCGTTTGGCGTCCATCCAGGGTCAACTTCACATTTGACAAGCAAACTCCAAGATGAATCGCCTAATCGGACTTGCGGTTTTTCTTGTCGTCTTCCTTGAAATCATCAACGCATTTCCAAGAAATAGAGCCGGTAAGTTTTTACTCGCATTGAATTTTTTTTGGGATGAATTTTTAAAGCTACTTCTTAAATTCTCGATTTAAGTTACACCCTTGTCAACCCCCGCAGCGAAGCAAGCAAAGTGGTAAAGATATCTGAAAATTCTTATTTTCTGAACAATTTGAGTGCAATATTATGGCAAGCAAAAGCCTCTTTCCCTAACAGAAATTTGGAGGATTTTTGACAAATTGGTTACCACAAATGTTCCAAAATTTCTCCTTACTTAGTAAACAATTGGCACTGTTGAAATGTCCTTCACGAGACAAATTTTAAGTACTGAAGCTTTATACAGGTTTTCCTTAAAGAGAACACACAGAATTTTGGCTCCAATATTATTATTATTATTTACCAATACAGCAACCCCTCAAAAGAGGATTTTAACCAAGTGCTTCTTAAGTTTATTGGACCAAAACCTTGGTCACGTAACCGCTGAAGGTTCTATGTATGCAACAATTTTCACAGGCTTGCAAAACTGTCAGCTAGCTGCGCGAGGGTATATATAATTTGCACATCGCTTTGCTTCAATCTGGGCTTATAAACTGAGCTCAATGCTTTTATCACCCCTTAATACTGCAACAAACACTACATCAACCACTGTCCTTGAAAGGGTGCGCCAAGAGGTCATGGTTTTTTTTAAAGGTTTTATGATACATAATTTTTAATTGCGAAAACAAAGTGTGCAAAACTTTCTGTGGGGGTGGGGGACAGGGAGGGTCTAATTGCTGAAGCGCAACTCAAGTACTTAAGTGTGACACGATGTTTATACTAGTTGCGTTTAAAAGGGCTTCGTTATATCAAAGTACCTTTGAAATTATGTACACGTACAGGACACTTCAACGAATGTCATGTTTCTCTGTCGATGTTTAACTGGTTTACTGGTGGGTGGGTACTTCAGGTAGGGAGAGGGAAAATGTCTTAAACATTTCAGATGATTTTAGCACTGTTTTAAAATCAAGCCACTTAATAAGAAATCGAAACACTTGCATCCTAACAAACACGTAACATACTATTTGGTTATGTATCCTAGCTTACTCCGATCGTTATGAAGGCCAAAAAAGAAGCCCTTTGACTCGGGATTTCCGTCAACGTAGTTACATTCCAATCAAAAGGCAGACCCTGTCGCAGCCAGATTCTGAATTATTAAAACTGGTTGCTGAACACCAGCTACTAGAGAGAAATCTGCAAAAGCTGATAGAGGACGAAGAAGAAGAGGAGGAAGAAGAAAAGGCAGGTGAGGAAGAGGAAAAAGAGGAGGAGGAAGCGGGCAAAAAAGAAGAGGAGGAAGAAGAAAAGGCTGGTGAGGAAGAGGAAGAAGAGGAGGAAGAGGCGGGCAAAGAAGAAGAGGAGGAAGAAGAAAAGGCTGGTGAGGAAGAGGAAGAAGAAGAGAAGGAAGAGGGCGAGGAAGAGGAGGAGGAAGAAGAAAAGGAAGGCGAGGAAGAGGAAGAAGAAGAGGAGGAAGAGGGCAAAGAAGAGGAGGAGGAAGAAGAAAAGGAAGGCGAGGAAGAGGAAGAAGAAGAGAAGGAAGAGGGCGAGGAAGAGGAGGAGGAAGAAGAAAAGGAAGGCGAGGAAGAGGAAGAAGAAGAGGAGGAAGAGGGCAAAGAAGAGGAGGAGGAAGAAGAAAAGACTGGTGAGGAACAGGAAGAAGAGGAGGAAGAGGCGGGCAAAGAAGAAGAAGAGGAAGAAGAAAAGGCTGGTGAGGAAGAGAAACAAGAAGAGGAAAGTGGGGAAGAGACAGGTGAAGAAGAAGAGGAAGAAGAAGAAGGTGAAGAGGAGGAAAAAGAAGAGGAAGAAGAAGGTGAAGAAAAAGAAGAGGAGGAAGAAAATGAAGGTGAGGAAGAGGAAGAGAAGGAGGAGGAGGAAGGCGCGGAAGAAGAGAAAGAAGAAGAAGAAGAAGGTGAAGAGGAGGAAGAAGAAGAGGAAGAAGAAGGCGAAAAAGAAGAAGAGGAAGAAGAAAAGGAAGGAGAGGAAAAGGAAGAAGAGGAAGAGGAAGAGGGCAAAGAAGAAGAGGAGGAAGAAGAAAAGGAAGGCGAGGAAGAGGAAGAAGAGGAGGAGGAAGAGGGAAAAGAAAAAGAAGAGGAAGAAGAAAAGGAAGGTGAGGAAGAGGAAGAAGAAGAGGAAGAAGAAGAGCCAACGGAAACAAAACGGCATCTTCCATTATACCGAAGTAGAGATGCGATGATAAAGAGACTCAAACTGCGTAACCTAAATTTGCTTAAGCTGATAAGAAAACGGAATAACATGTAAACAAATTTCGTTGCAATTCGGTTGCACTGCAAACAACTACCAAGTAACACTGAAACAAAAACACGCTGCCAAAAGCAATAACTGAAAACTTCACTCAAACAGACAAATTTCACATGGAACAGCAGATAACAGTTTCAATCAACAACCATAAGACAGCTTTTGACGTAATTTCACTTAATTACGATTTCTTGGCACATAATCGTTTTATTTTTTAACCACAAAATTATTTTTTTTTTCTATACGCAAAATCGACGAGGAGGATCTTAACGAACACTTAAATATTGCTTTTTTTCTCTTTATAAAAAGAATTACTGCAACAATATGTTGGTTTTCACGTGACGTCACTGGAATTCAAACTACAAAACTATCGATCCTACTGAGATTTTACTTTCATGGTGTATTAGAGCAGCCGAAAACTAATTTTCAAACAAATTTTCGCTTCAAAAGGGTTCTTGGTTTTGTAATAGAGTACGCTTGAATTTCTAAGCTTTCGTTTCACTAGTGCCTTTCGTTGAACTTTCTATATGTAAAGTAGGATGCAATAAATTCGTCATATTTGTGAAACAGGTGTTTTAATTGTCTGAAGTATAGGCAAAGGAGAATAAATTAGGGGTAGGGCCACAGCTAATGAAAACTCGGATACAGTAGTTTTGATGTGGGGCACCGGTTACTAACAGAAAATAATTTTTTTTAAGCGGGACAATAAACCCATTGTATTCCACATTATTTCGGGTCCCAACACTTTGGTTCTGTTGATGCAAACGTGGGTAAATAAAGGTGTCACCCTCATGGTAGTCTGCTACACAGCCGTTTTTAGTGTCGTCACGCAACACTCCTCCCCGTTGCGTGACGACACCAAAAACGGCTGTGTAGCAGACTACCCTCATGGCTAAATTTCTTTCCCTGACCACTCAAAATGCAATGAAATGCACTTTTTAGCACCCCTCTCCCCCCGATCAATCAAATTTTTTTCCAGGAGAGGCCCTAGGACTTTCCCAATGAAAAAGGGTAGCCCTCTTCGCATACCTACCCCTACATAGTCCTGCTAGCTACTTAATGTTGTTCTCTTTCTACGGCTCAGATTTCCTGGAGAACCCTGTGTAAGTGTCGTTTGTACAGTTACATTCCTCCCCAAAATACTCCCTATCCCTTCATAGATACTTCTTGCAGCAAATCATGTCAATGATAGGATTGATTGATTAAGTTCTTAGTTCGAATTTTTTTTTTTTTTTTTTGACCCCTCAAGTCCAAGATTGACAAACATCAATAATAATATTTTCACGTTAGTCCAGTTAATTTTGTTTTATTTTGCCAATTTCTCGCCCTCAATCGTTATGGAACTTAAAGTAAGCAAAGAAATTACATGTAAATGACAAAATCAGAGATCAGAGACAAACAAATATGTCTCCTGAGCATTATTTTTGAAGTTGCAAGCAGCAGGGATCAACTTTGAAAAACTGTTAGGCTGAACAGTTTTCAAAAACCCTAATTTCAATCCGTTTCAATCTTCTTTAGTTTTGCCTATCCGTGGCATCTGTTGTTTCTGTTATGTTATTTTAACCTTCCTTTAAAGTTTTGAGTGGTTATTTTTATGCTTCTCTTAATTTAACGGGCATTTTGTAATTTCCTAATTTCGCTGAACTTCGTGACACAGCTCCTTTAAGATTATCAATACACAGTCAAAAGAAAAGGCTATAAGAATAAATAAAATGATTGCGAAGGGAAACTGCTTTCATTGATCTTTTATTAAATTCTCCTAATTAATTCTTTAAGGAAAAGTACAGAGATCACTGAGGAGAATTTGTATTTCGATATTGGGGCTTTAAAGGAAAGCCGAGCTGATGTAGTCAATTCATCACTTTCAAAAGATTAAAAAGCTGAGAGGTTCCAAGCCTTTCACCCGAGTGAAGCCTTTACTTTGACTTTTTTGCAGTTTTTCTAGGCATAAGTATAGCGTTGTTCTTTGTCTCACTTGTAAATTGGATCAGAAGACACCATTTAGGAGACTTGCAATAGTTTATTGTATTGAATTGGATTAGATTTTTCAACACGTGAACATTCTATTAAAAATTAATTATTATGGTGGTAAACTGACTTTGCCATGCAGAAAGGTCGAAAAAATCACCTTCTAAGTTTCAACCCTCTATTGACGCTGTCAGTCTAACCAGATGTTCAAAATAAAGATTGCCATTTATGGACGCTTAAATAAAACTCAAGCCACAATTGACTGAAAATGTTGTCAATCTCAGAAAATACTATTAGATTATGGGCAATTAGCCTGCGAATGCAGATGTATATCTGGTTGTTGCTTCTCTCCACAGAGTGGAGAGAAACCACGACCAGGAAACAAGCTAATGTGCAATGCGTCAATTAATTTAACAGCTGTTTCCATACAGTAACAGTTAATGCAGTACAAGTCAGCTACCTGTTTCAGATCTTAATTGGGGCAGACAGAAGTTATAAAAAGAATCAACCTTGAACACATCATTCAGGGACTTCCACTGCACCCAGCCATGATCTTGAAGCATTGCCTTGTCAGCCTTGCCACAGAAATGAGGGTCCTAAACATGAAACAACATACAACCATAAATCAGTTTATTATCCAAAATTCCAACAGGTGAGGGACAAATTCACAAATATATACCGTACTTATTCCATTAACCGCCCTGCTGGGCGCTTATTAAATTTTGGACCTTGAGCGTGGGTGCTTATTTGAGGTGGACACTTATTCCAGGCTGGGTATGGTGCTTATTAAATTTTCACCATTTTTAACAAGTGTTGTATGTTTATTTTGCAACAAAACAATACATGCTAATAACAAAACGTAAAGAAGTAACAAAGCAAGCTAGGTTTCTGTAAAATACTCTGAAGAAAACTCCGTCCTCAGGGAAGTCTCTTATTACTACTTATTCAATGTCAATTTCAATCTCATTGCCACACAAGTGGGTGGGGTGGGGGTGGGCGCCTATTTGAGGCTGGGCGCTTATTAACTTTTTCTGCCTTTAGAATGGACACTTATTTGAGGTGGGCACTAATTCGAGGTTAGGCGCTTATTCGAATAAAAACGGTATAGCCAAAGAGCTAATATTGTACAGTGCAACCCCTCTTAATAGGGACACTAAGGGGGCTATACAAAACACACAAATTTTTCCATCTTATGTCAAATTTTCAGCAAGTTCTGACCGGATCAAGAAGTACTGACTGGCCCCAACACAAACACACATATCCATATAATTTACTGACTCTAAGTTGAATGAGTAAACCTAAATTTGCATGGATTCTGTTTCCATTCATGACAGTATGAATGTTTTTAAACATGACAGTTATTTAAACCAAGTTTAGCTAGTGTTTAACAAAGCTGCATTCTAAGCTATTTTCAATTTGCCCAAGAGATCTGGAGGTCCAAAGATTTGCTAAACCACAGCTTAAGTTGGACTTTGTTTAAATAACCGACCCTAAGTATTTTAAGATCAAGAGAGCTAGGTTTTTCCAATCTTAACTTACTGCAATTAGGAAGTAAAAGCCTTTATTTGTTTTGCATACTCCAAGCAGTGTCTTTGAGGAAGCGTCTATATCACCACCTGACAAAGCAAACAAAAGAAAATACCGTATCTCAAGTTGGCAGACAGGTCAACAAATCATATTAAACATTATTGTACTTGTACTGGTACTTGGATGAGCAGAATTCTATCACATAATTTATAACATAACAACAACAAACTACCAGGAAAACATATTGATAGTTTCAAAGCTTTATTTTATAAAAGCTGAACAAGACTGCCAAGATTGCCTATAGTAAACAAAAAGACTGCAACTAAAATCCATAACAGAAGAACCCATTAAAGTACATAACAGTATACAACAGTCACTGTTAGTAGCATCACAGGAAGCTCGATGACATCCGGGGGGTGGGGGGGGGGGGGTGGGGGGATCGCCCACTGGCGCCCTGGCCCCCTAAACACTTCCCGTTCTCATTCCACTTGATTTTTTTCACCCTAAACCAAAGAAAAACCCCCAAACCCCCCCTAAAAACAAACCAAAAAACCCCCATAATGGCCGTCCCCCCCCCCCCCCCCCCCCGGGGGGATGGCATGTACCTGTTCTACCCAATACATGTTGGGGACAAGGGGTGGAAAGCCGGGAGAATGGGGGAGGGAGGGTTACAGGTGGCAGAAGAAGAAAGATTGGGAGATGGGATTTCTAAAATGTTGGAAAGCAGGAGAAATATTTATAAATAAGAACAATGCAACAATTATTATGCTTAATCTCTTGCAATCAAAAAAGGGCTACAGGGAGGAAGCCAATAAAAGAGGGACAGAAGCTAGTAAAGCAAGGTATTTATTTGTTTATTTATTTACCAGCTTTTCTGGACACAGGCCTGCCCAGAGGTAATGTGCACGAACGGGACTTAGGTCCCATGCAAGGTGCCATCCCTACCCAATCCCACAACCCATAAAGGTTGGCCACACCCCTACTCTGTTCAAATAGTGATGTGGGTTCTTTTATGTCCCACAAGAACAAATCAGTAAAAGTGCTGTGAGACAGGACCTGTGGTTTTTCATCCTTATCCGAGAGGACTAGAAAGTCTAACCATTTGCAGATGTCATTACAAAGGTAGCACTTTCTTCTCAGTTATTTAAAGACCCTGAGTATTGGTCTGGCCAGGGATTGAACCCGCGACCTCCCTCTTGGCAGACCAGTGCTCTCCTAACTGAGCTCTCCCAACTGAGCTAACCAGGCGGCAGTGGTATGGGAGGCAGGAGGTTTGAACCTCACTATCCCCACCCCACCCACCCATACTTGGACATCAGGGCTGGCTGCCCACAGCCAATCAGATTAGATAGCTTAAATACAGTAATGTTGACCACTGATTTTAGATTTTGCAGAAAACATAAAAAACTGGCCAGGGTGGCTATCCTGCACTAGTCTTCTCAGTACTTCAAGCTGCAAGGTAAGATAGCTGATGGGGAGAAGAATGAATGTGGCTACCTATGTAAGAGAACTAAACACTGTCCATCTCAATAGGGTAACTTCAAAGATTCAAAGACACTTCTTCAGAACTGAAGAATGGCCATACTTTTTAACCGGGGTGTTTTAAGCAAGAGAAATAGGATATCTAGCCACCAACCTATCATAACAGGTGACCCAAAGTGTTTGAAGTGTTCCAGGAGAACCAATGCAGCATCCTGCTCAACACAATGCCCTCCACTGACATGCACTATTTTGCTACAAACCTAAAACAACACATTATTCTCTTTATTTACAATATTATAATAATTAGACACAAATATTAGTGCTATTGGATTTATGATAAAACTATACTATACAGCAGGACAAAGTTCTACATCTTAATTTCTTTTCTTCTATCTTGATTTTTTTAACAAAGATAAGCTGGGCATTAATGCTGGGCAATAAGCTTGGCACTCGGCACTTATCACATACACTGTATGTGATAAGCCTATAATAAGCAATTGTCCATTCAGATCAATAAGTGTTGGGATGACAATCAATTAAAGAATCTTACCCTGAAAATGGAGGTCATTCAAGGAGTTGGACCTGCAGGATGGGCTAGTTGTAGACAACCTTTATTTATTTATTTTTTTTATTCATTCAACACTTATTGATATTTTTAACTCTTGGACTTTTAATAAAATAATTATTACAAGAATAGGATTAAATAAACATTCCAAGAAATTCCATAAAAACTTGCAACAGCTGTGGCATCCTGTACACAGAAAACTTACAACTTCCTTACGTGCAAGTTACATTTACGATCTCAACAAGGGGGACCTTAAGATACACTATTTCTGCCTATGGGTACAGGGTAAGAGGCAATCTACCTGTATTCAAGGCTATGGCTATGGGTAATTTACTCATAAGCAGACAAGGAAATGGTGTATCTTAAGGTCTCTAATAATATCAAAAACATATTAAGTTGATGCTGGCTATGACCTTGTCATAGATCATGATTGTATCATTTAAATTTGGCAGCAAAGATAGTGGCCTTGTCTCTTTCATCCTTCCTTATCAATTTGAAGGTTATGGATAAGAACCCACTATACTTTGTGCTGCTATAAAAGAGAAAATCTTCATGGAACATACTAACCCTGGGAGGCTGTTAAGGGAACCTGACCTTGCACAAGTCTTCCGTCCCAATAAGCAGCATTTTATGTGGACATTAGGTGCTACACAAAAAGTTGTAACTAGCAATAGATCACAACACCAATGTGTGAAAATAAAATGAGAATTATACAACCTACAAACACACCCCAAAAATTTGATCCACACATAGACAGGCTTCTACAGAGCCGATCCATTCCCTGGAGCCAACAAAAGAACATGGTTTGTCACCAACAGTCACCAATGTCTGCTGTATTTCTTGTAGGTTTGGTACTGTTAAAACCTTTTTTTGGTTTTTCAGTGAATGATGGACCCAGGAACAGATAGTCTGAAGTGTCCTATAGCCACAGCCCCAACCCTAAAGTATTAGAGATTACACTGTGATCAAGGTTCTGAGCCACAACTTGAGGCACACTACCCTTATTCTCATTCAATTTGGCAAGTATTAAATTTCGCAAAAACTCACAAGCCATATTTTACAACTATATAATTTTGTGATTTTTAGGAAAAGGTAAACTTGGAGTGTATTTTAATTTCACGATTTTTCTATTCATCAATATGTAAAGAAAACTTTGACCTCAGAACAGTAACAACAGAATTAATAATTTTATCGTAAACAACTGCAAAGAAAGACAATTTAAAACAAAAGAAGCTAAACATAACAAAGCATAAGGTTTTCAACAGTCTAACAAGGTACCCACAAATAGTTACAGTTCTGACAATGAGAGTGATGCGATGGAACGCTGATGGACAAAAATTAAACAAAAACTCCTAAACCTGAATCTAAGACATGCTGGAATAACTAATTAAGCAACAACTTGAATTTTGTTATTTCATGGAGATGTATATGTCTGGTATTAAATTTTGCGATTTTAATATTCGCCAGTATTAGATTACACGAGTATTAAAATTTGCAAAATTTAATACTCATTAAATTAAGTGACAACAAGGTACACTTTTTTAGTGACCCCCTGTCCCTTCTCTAGCAATAAAATAGCCTGCATGGAGAGGGAGAAAAGCATGAAATCCCCTATTTTTCCTTCCTCCTAATCCCCTTTTAAGCCCCAAGATCCACATGCAAATTCTCCAGACTGACCAAAGACTGACCTCCATACATTTCTTTTAAGAATAGTTGAGAGAAATTGGTTTAAGATCAAAGTGTTCTCCCTTTGGTAATCAATTTAGAAATTCTCATAACCTTTACTCTTCATGATCTACTGATGTCGTTAGGAGAAAATTGATGTTGGTCACTCTTGGGACCTGAGGGGTTAAGGGAGTACCCCTGCCCTCCCCTGGAAATGCCTACACTATATATGTTATACTTAGGAACCTTTTTCGAGTCATATAGTGAAACTGTTAATAAAGGACAAGATCATATAGATCCTAGGATGTCTGAAGAATTCCAAGGGTTTGTCAAAGTTATCCTTTCCTCTTTGAAACCCTACAAACCGCCGAACTTTCTTTGTCGAGTATCGGTTTAAACTGAAAAATGCTTGACCAGTATAAATTTCCCAGCACACTAACATATTTACAAGCTTACCCTGTCATCCACTCCATCGATTTTATAATGGTAAAATTCGTATTTTCCCCGCACAACGCCAAAATCGATAAGTTCAGAGGGAAGATCTAACCCCTCGTGTACATCACTCAACATTTCACAGTGTCACGAGTAGTTGTTCATGTAGGTAGTCAGATACTGTCCCAAAAACTCTTTGTGGGGGACTGTGGCCGTGAGGGGATACGGGTATACTCCGGAGAGGGTTCTCCCTTTTATGGTCTACTCGGGGATGTGCTGCTGGACAGGGTATGGTTTTTGACCTCTCTAGCTCTGTCCTAGTAATTTCGTGTGAATCTGTCCCTGTCATCTGGGTATAGTAGATCTTTTCACGTTTCTTTTTGCCTTAAGATTAGTAAAATTGCCTAACCAGCTCCTCAAATTTGCGAAATTTTACAGACGTATGTATGGTGGGGGGTACAAACTTGCCCCCTACCATACAAACGTCTGTAAATTTTCGCAACTTTGCGGAACTATTAGTATATCTTCGCTCACTTAAGACATATCACTTTCAAATTTGGCTCTTTAACTTATGTTAAGGTGCTCTTTCCAGTGGCGTCGACGGTTTTCCCTAACTTGTCCATGTCAAAAGTTGAAAAAAGCGTGAAAAGATCTATTGCGTTCACGATTGATTTGACTGTGCAAGATAAATTCTGTTCAGAGTTTTGTTTCTACTTCAACACTTATTGAGAAAACGCTAAAGGAGAACCAGTTTGTTGGAGAATCAAAGGAACCAACAGCAAGACGTTTTGCTCAGTTTCATTCCCCACAAACTGAACGGATGAAAAAGGAATTAATACTGACAGCATGCATTTCCTCCTTTGTCCTAAACAAGGTAAAAAAATTGAGGGTGTTGTCTCTTAAACAGGTTATGCCGTATTCTACTGTACTGGCCATACCGCGGAGTTGTTACTTGTGCATGCTTCAGCGCTGAAATTGGTATATGTATTTTAGGAATGTTTTGTCCTAAACCAGCAGGGTCAGGGTTTCAAACCCTCAGCGCTCATCCATGATTCACCTATACCCAAATATTGGTCCGGTATCCTGTGGGACGAGTTTGTCCCGCTGTGTCTTGTCGTTTGGCCTATGCGTCGTTCCGCTGCCGTCCCGGAATGTCTATATACCTCGTTCTTTCAGTATGATACGTTGAAGCCCGATACACATAAGTATAACTCGTTTTTTCAGGCCACTGATTTTGATTAAAGAAGTTAGGGAACTAACTTAGCACGTTTGCGAAACGACTCAGTTAGACGTTTGATAACAGTACGTTGACGAAACGACTCTGTTACACTCTAGAATAGGGTCGACTTACCCCCCAATAAGCCCTGATGATTATTCTCGATCAAGCTTGAATGCGAAACTACACTAACTATAGAAAATGTCCCGCGTCGTTTTTTATGTCCCCTCATCGTTTGAGCTTCAGTAACGACGACGGCGGCAGCCGCGAAAACGATTCATCAAACTGAATTACCATTACCCACCTCCCCAGCTCAACCAACAGTAGAAAGAAAAGGGAAAATATACATATTTCGTCGTCGTGTGCTTACGTTCTCTATGTAGGCGAAGTCGACCTTATCGACCTCATTCAATGTAGGTTAAACAACCGAGATTTGCATAGGGCGGGAGAAAGCAAAGCGATGGAAGGCCTGCGTTTCCCTTCTCTTGTCCATTTCTTTTTTCGCTGTTTTCATCCATCTTTTTATGAGCCATTTCTCCTGATTCCCCATGTTTTCTTCCCTTTTTCGCTCCGTGTTCTAATGTTTTCACTTGATTTCCCTGTTAAATATTTCCCTCTTCTTTCCTATCCGGTGTCTCCGGAACAAATTTCACTCACTCTCAGCAGCCACGTGCAACTGAGTACAGTAGAACCCCGCCTTACGACCACCCCGTTTATAAGACCACCTCGTTATTACGGTCATATTCCTTCAAACCAAACGTAACAACCATTGAGTCATTTTATTATTTTGAAGACCCCGTTAATGCGACCACCTCGTTATTACGACCAGGATTTTATGGCCCAACGGTGGTCGCATTAACGGGGTTCCACTGTATTTCAGAAGGTAGCCAGCCGATTTTAATGACACCGTACCATTTCCGGAGTAGACCCGCGATAGTAACGCCTTCGAAACGCCTGGAACAGGCTACCTCCTACAGGTGTCTAGTCTTCCGGCCATGTAACCTTTATTTCTGGGCGAAACTTTGGGGTGAAAATAAAGGAAAACACGAAGAAAAAAGGCAGGGGATCGGGAATACCCGAAGGGGTAAGAACAACACAGGTAGCGATAGGGCCCCTTTTGGGGCGCATTTTGTGGCATGGCAGGAGATGATGGGCTCCTGGGCATGGTAAAAAGAGGAGCGAAAGGCAGGGAAAGACCTGGAGAAAAAAACGGAGGAAACGAGAGAAAATAATGGAATTACGGTGGAAAAACTGAGTGAGTTGGGGACACCTTTTTTTATGTATTTCTCTCATAAATATCTCAAACCGTTTTGCCCGTAGCTTGTTCGTGTATCGTAGGGACGACGCGAAGAGTAAGAACCGGCTATTGTGCCCGCGGTTAAGAAGCTACTGGGTAAGCAAAAAAGACATGCGCACAGTGATCAGGGGGTAGTATTTCAACTTTCCTCTAGGGAGGATGCGACACCGTTATTTAATAAAGTTACATGTCCATTCCTTACATAGAACTATTTCATCCGTCAAAGGAAGTCAGTCTTTTTGTTCTAAACTTTTTATCATCTAGGAAAAACTTTAATCCACTTAGTTTTCACCGAGGAGTATTTTTCTCTTGTTACGTAGGTTCCCTATCCCTCCCCTACTGGGTACTTTAGCGTGATTTCACTTCACTCCAGCTCGAAGGATCTCTTTATCAGTTTGAACAGAGTGGATGTTAAAAGGAAGTCGTCGTTCTGTTCCCGAAAATAGCCATTGATATTCTTCAGAGGATTTTTGGGACCAGGAATGGTCAATGCAACTTCCAAAGAGGTAGTTTCTGTTAATAATGCGAGTCCTGCCGATGAACCGACAGTGCTATGTATTGTGAAGGATGAGACGACAGCGAACTGGAAACACAACACTCACACGGTTAATTTGCCAGCTTCCACACCAGTACACGAACTTTATTCTCATGTAGCTAAGCAAGTTAACTATGAAGAGGACTCTTTTCTTCTAGTGTGGTGTAATACGGCCGGAGGAGGAAGCAGCGAGGATGAAGTTATTCTCAATGCGGAAAAGAACAAATCATTGCAAGAAGTTGGTTTGGCATCGAATGGAAAAAAGAATAATTTCTTACTAAAAGATAAAGATGGAGTGCAACCAAGGAAAAGCAAGGTTGGTGAATTAGTAGCCGTTTACTACGCGTTGCCAAACAAAAACATCTCATCAATCGATGTTAATTATATTGATTTCTTCAGAGAGAGGCTTTGATTTCTCGAACTATCGGTTTAGTTAGACTCACCGTATATTATTTCTATTTTAAGCCTAGTACAACAACTTAAGCTTTTAGTCTATATTCTTTAATAGTTTGAGACCTTCAAATCTACATAGTAACGACAATATGTCAAATTTTCCTGGAAGTCATAAAAAGAGTTCTGAAAGACTTCTAAATTATTGGAGAAAAAATAATGTTAAGCACGGTGCATTCCACTGAGCTTTAAAAATTTGTTGGAACTAAGACTTCTATTATTTAACTGTAAGGTGCCAACAAAAGATTTCATTAGCAAATGATACTTTGGGGTTAAAACTTTAAAACCGTATCTTAATCCTAGCTTAGTGGTAAAGTTTTCATTCAGTTTTAACGTCATGTAACATTTCTGCTCTCTTCATGGGAAATTGACGTGCACATTGTGTGTAGTACAGACTATGCCAGCAGACACAACAAAACTGATCAAATGATAGAACCTGCCAAATTAAAGCACATTTTCCAGTTTTGTGTAATTTATATCTGAAGAGAGCATTTTTTGAGAACATTCTCTTAGAACATCTCTGTTTTGTGTTGTCTTGGGTTTTTCTTGTTTTCAATAATGGTAAGTTTTCATTAGTAGTAGATGAATTTGTCAATAAACTATTGTGTAGCATACAGTTTTCCAGCCAGGAAATCATAGCTACTATATAAACACTTGTGTGTTGAGCCTGATTTTCCCTGATACAGTCTGTCTTACTGTTAGTGTCATATGTAAGAGAAATTAATAATGGAAGAGACATGCAATCTTTCAGATCCATATTGATGGCTTTTCAGTTTCTAAGGACCAGTTGTAATGTGATAACTATAAATTCCACTAGCTTTCATAAGGGGTGGGTGGATCTATAAAATTCGGAAAAAGATTGGGGAGGGGTCCAGGATACTTACCAGCAATATAGACACTATTTAATATACTGAGAATTCCTTTACAATACTTTAAAATTTCACAGATAAAAAGGTGTTGTCCCCTCGGACCACCCCTTAATCCACCCACGACACTATCAGTCCATTACCAAGCTTTAATACTCTAACCCACCCAACCGGTGATATATATACATGTATGTGATTTGTGAATTGATATTAGTGTTAGATGTAGACTGCACCACTAGGAAGATGTCCCTTATGGGAATTCTTTTTTAATAGTATATTTGTGGGCCGGGTCATGTCCCCTTTAAATTAACCAAAAGAGAAAGATGGAGGAGATAACACCTATAAAGTAATGTCAGTGCCTGATGATGTAATCACTAGACCTGAGAGAAAGTCTTTTATAGTCAGGATGATCTTACCAGTGTTTTAAACAGGCTATGTCACATTGTTTCGTCTCTTTTGAAAAAGCTAAATACATGGTAACACATTTTACATCATTTGAATAATTCTAAAAATAGTGCTCCAGTTTTTTGTTAAGGACAATATTTAAAGGCATTAAACTGTTTCCTGTCATCTGTTGCCACAGATGGCAAGGATGGACATAGATTGAAACTTGAAAGAATTAGGCTGATTTTCTTAAATGTTAATGTTATCCTTGCAAATTTCAACAAAAACTTATCATGGTTACCTAGTTAAATATGTTTCTGACATCTTTTCCTTAAATCTACAGGAGCATGTTGGGTATTAGTAAAGATACTAAGGAATGATTATAGTGCAGAATTGACCTAAAACAGTTATTGTAACATAGACCCATGAAAGACCCTTGTTAGTGGTTGGGCTTTGCTTTAAACTTAGACTCTCCACTAAGCAAACCTGTGTTCAACCAACAGATTCATCCTAAATACGTGTGCATGTACCTCCCAACTCAAGATACCAGTGAATTCTTAAATGGAGTATTGTTTCTCAACATAAGCTATTATTATGAGACAATAGGGAGCTTAAGCAACTACGACGACGACCACAACGACGACTTCAAAAAAACAATAGCTTTAATGATCAAAACAACAGCTCTGCACGTGCATCACGCTTTTTAGTACATTTCTTTGACGTCCACTGCACAACTGCAACGTGAAACCTCCTAATTTGACGATTTATGGAGGATGTGGACATACAACGACGAATATCATTTTCCTACATCTTTTTTAACCTGGATAAAATTCTTAAGAATTTAACTCCAGGAAAAGTCGCCTGTATTTGGCATATTGAGCGGGTCCAAATAGACATGATAAACTTTGAAAGAACGCAAATTCATTTTTTTACTGGCGTTTTCACTGCCGTCATTGTCGTCCTTGCTTAAGGTCCCTAATGGCTCTGTGAAGTCAACCTCAACTCCACCTTAATAATGTGTATTTCTCTTTGTTGATTTGCAGGAAAGCACAGAGGATATACTTACTGACAGTGTCAGCAACTTGTTCCAGAGTAGTTCGAACCCTTCATACTCATCATATTCCTCAAGTGACAGCTATACATCAACAAAGTCTGAAACAGGTTTGTACAATTCTGCGATTTAACTTTGCTTTTTGTTTCACAGGAAAGCATTTAATGTTGCTCCTCCTTCTGTACACCGTCTAAACAGGTAAAAGCAACATATACATGTATCAAAAGTGTCTAATTTTTATCTGCTTTCCATTGTAGGGTTTGTTGGTCTTGTCAACCAGGCAATGACATGCTATCTTAACAGTCTTCTTCAGACACTTTTCATGACTCCAGAGTTCAGGAATGCAATATACAGGTTGGTTCTTTTCTGCAAAACAGTGTTGAGAGTATTCAAGCCCGGAACCATCAACATAATATAAATGAGTGAGCAAGACTCACAGTGCTGCTTTTGAGCATTTAGCATGTTGCTGGTACCTATTTGTAAACCCGTGTGAAGAAAGATAAAATGAAATAATGTTTCTTGTTTAAGGAAGCAACACAATACATATAAGTACGAGGTTTAAACTCCAAACCTACAGAGTGTAAGTTTGACCTGCCAACTGCTCAGCCCCCAAGGCACATTTTTCACTTTTATTTTTTCAATTTTATTTCTTTTTCCAATACATTTTTCTTTTTTACCGTTCGTATTTACCATTAGTTTTAAGGATATAACATTGGTGTTTTAGGCCGAGTAAACTAAGATTATCTTGTTTGGCTCCCCATTCTTATAATATTCAAAACAATTGCAAACACAATAACTGAATAAACCACATTAATTTACAACAATAGAGGAAATTTGTGTAAATAGTAGGAACAAGTACACAGAATATAATTAGTGACTCAAATTAAAGACAAAAAAAATGATAACAAAGAAAGTTAAAGTAAGAAATTAGGAGAACATGGTAGGAGTCTATAATAATTGTTGCGGGCTCCTCTTGTTGCCTGCAATCCTAATCTCCAGGTTTTTATTATGCATACGTCGCATGTATGTAGCCAGCATCCGTTTAGACTTCCACTAAGAAAAGATGGAATTCACCAAATGCAATTTGATCACATGCGTTTCCACCTTCTACTCCACGTAATCTGATCCATGCGTGTTTTGACCATTCTGTTAACTGAAACATAGGCAAAGCATAGCGTTGGAGCAAATGTGTGTTTGGACCTAGGATCGTTGTCGCCCACACTTCCTAACCTTTGGTTATTAATAGTAATAATAATATTTCCAGACAAGTTAGACAACCTGTGCACCTAAACTACATGTTTTATAATCCCAACATATCTCTAATATTATACATAATTTTTTGCAGGCTATGTCAACTTTATGCTTGGTTATTGTAATATAATAATAAATTACTATTATTATTATTGTTATTATTATACAATAACCAAGCATAAATGACATCTCAAGAATGAACTGTTTTTGAGAATATTATTAAGTAATACTTCAAAATTATGCATAGGTGGGAATTTACTGGAAGTGAAGATGAAGGAGCTAAAAGCATCCCCTATCAGCTTCAGAAGCTTTTCCTTCACTTACAGGTATTTTAACATTTAACGTTATAAAGCTTGTGACTGTAGTGAGACATTTGTGCACCTAGTGTGTGCCAGAGGTGTGAGATTTTACTAGCATGAGTCCAGATGATCCAACATTGTGCACAGTAGTTCCAGAAAATGTACATATCTCCCCACAGAAAGGATTTTTCTTCCCACCCCCCCCCCCCCCCCCCCCCCCTTTTAAGCCCCCTTTTTCACCTTCCCCCCCCAAATTTCCTTTTTTTTTTTTTTTTTTTTTTTTTTGTTTTTGGAGTTTTATACTGTAAGTGTTTTGGAAAACTCACATTTTTTTTATTTTAAAAAATATAAAAAATTTTTTAATTTTATTTTGTCTCAATTAGCTAGATAAATTGTCCCTTGGTTGGGCCAAGGGGGTGTGTATTTACCAACATTGGTCCAAGTTTACCAACATTGTGCCCAGTAGTTCCAGAAAATGTACATACCCCCCCCCAGAAAGGATTTTTCCTCCCCCCCCCCCCCCCCCCCCCCCACCCCCTTCTTGAAGTCCCAATTTCGAACTTCATACTGTAAATTTCATTTTTTCTTATTAATTAATTTATGGTAGTTTGAGATGGTCCATGCTGAAGTGTTTGGGAACACCTCTCATTTTGTAACTAGAAAATGAAGCTAAATTGTTGATACTATATTATGGCCATAGTTGCTAGTAAAGTTGTACCCAAGGTAGTGTGAATAATATTGTTGCAGACATAAAAAATATCATGTGGTTGATCTGTGAACTAGCTCAAATGTACAATCTGTGATTGCAAAATAAAATATCGCATATATATTAAATGTTTCTCTTTCTCAAAAATATTTTCAGACAAGTTCTAAGAGGGCTGTGGAGACAACTGATGTGACGAAAAGCTTTGGATGGGACAGTAGTGAAGGTAAAGAATAATTGACCATTATTATTGTTATTATTATTATTATTATTATTATTATTATTATTATTATTATTATTATTATTATTATTATCATTAATATTACTATAAAAAAGCAAGGAAATAAAACTTGATCCATAGGGGGACCATAGTTACTGGTATACATGTACATCAATTTTTAGCTTCCATGGATGCAAGTTTGGATTTTGTTTTTTGAATGACACATTAATTTTCTACAGTACTGTTTGTCTATGAGAATCTTTTAAACAAGGTCTTACACCCTTTCAGTGTTGTATTCAGCTACATTAATGAATGAACTGGGTTGAGTTAACTTCCATAACCACCTAAAATAAGAATCACAAAGTGATTTTATCTTCAACTTGTAAAAATACCAAAAAAATCAAACAGTAGCAAAGAAACATTCTTTACATAGTCACACTATAGGATTTTATCAACAGACTCCCAAAATATTGTACCTCATATTCCCAACTGACTCTTAATGTTTCATGGTTAAATGCATTGGGGTTTTCAATAACTTTTTCAATAACTTCATAAACCACTACCAATTTTGGATAGATGGCAGAAAGACACCACAGTAATCTTGTAAGATTAATAAGATCTTAACACAAACAGCAGAAAGAGACCCATATATAGATATATAGGCAGTGGTAGACTAGGGACCAGTGACTGTCTTTGATTGAATCGCCTGTAAGTTGAGATGTGCTTATTTTCAGCTTGGCAGCAACATGATGTACAAGAGTTGTGTAGAGTCATGTTTGATGCATTGGAAAGCAAGTTCAAAAACACTGATCAGGTCTGTTGTCCGTAGAACTTGTCCAACTCATGATATGACCTTAGTTCAAAGAGTGTTAGGCTGACTCAGCCTACAGCTTATTACATCTCTCTCTGATGTGCTTTTCTTTTCTGTTTACATGGTTTAAGTTTTGTGTAAATTGTTTCAAAATTTGTACAAAAAAGTTATGATACATTACAAATTAATTATAGCAATTATTATACAATGTGGCAGTATGAGCAGGGGAAAATTTTTCTCAAGGATAATTGGCAAGTAAACTTAATAACACCCACTTTTGGAATAAGAAAAAATCAACAAACCAGGGCTCCGTATTAGCGGCTGTCAGGTTGTCCAAGACCACCATGACATCATTCAGACAAGTACTATAGCACAAAAACTATTGCGCAGTCGATCAAAAAAGTCCTCGTAAAAAAAAGTCCTCATATCCCCTGAATATAGGACTTCAAAAGAAATACTAATCATGGATCCCTGAACAAAGATCACAGTGCCTTTGTAAAAAAATTGATGTAACTGCGAAAAGTCCACATCTTGCAGTTTATGAAGTATTAATTTGTATTATCACGGATTAAATTAAACTTTTTGCTTTTCCTCTAGGATGATCTTATTAACAAACTTTATCAAGGAAAACTCAAAGACTATGTTAAATGTCAACAGGTAAGATTGATAAAAACTGCCATTAGCACTTTTCCACTCATAACATAGCTTTAAAAAATATGTAGAAAAAGCTACCTGTAGTCAATCCTTTTTATGGCCGCCATACAGCCGAAATGGAGAAAAGTGTCCAAAACATTGTTTACTGACTGATGTTCTTAGTGTGGAATACCTTTACATGTAAATTCATTAAGCGATGCACAAGGCAAAGTAATTTTTTTGGAGAACAAATTGACACTGCAAGCGTTATAAACACTTTTCTCTTCCTGTTGTTATTGCTTGTCTTTCTTATTCTATTTTATTTTATTATGCTTTAATTGGGTTTTACTCGCCTTTATTTTTTATGGTAATTAGATGTGTCAGGCTGCCACTGAGATTTCAGGTTGCTCACCAGTGTAGGCAATTAGTAGATGGGAAGTTAAATACACAACTGTGAAGTTCCTTTGGTTTTATATTTCTTTTGTTTCTATGAAAATAGCCAGGGGTGGTGCTCATAGTTTCCCCTGGGGACATTCACGGTCCCGGCAGGCCCTTAGATTTTTGTTCGGATTTTCAGTGAGTTATGAAAACAGGCATCTATGCATTTACAGTAAGCTTCCTTCCTCCAGCGTGGGGCCTGTTTCTCAAAAGTCCCGACAACTTTTCAGGCCCGGAAAGCTGCTTGGTGTTTGCCGCGTTCACATTTTCAATGATTTTGAAAATAATGAAATGAAACTATCAGTTGATGAAGCAAAATGGACTGGTTTATGGGCTAAGAATGGTGTTACTATTCAATAGGTTTGGATTTTAAAATTTGCCTTTGGGCCCGAAAAGTTTCCGGGCCTTTCGAGAAACTGGCCCCAGAGCTTTAACTAAAAATGTAAAAAGCATATTAAAGTTTGCTTTTTACATAAAATTTGAGGCGTAATATTAATTACTGCCTTTTATATTTCTGATTGATTCCCTAGTGTAGTCAGGAAAGTGCACGGACTGACACATATCTAGATATTCCACTGGCAATCAGGCCTTTTGGATCCAAGCAAGGCTTAGGCAGTGTGGTGAGTCAAGGACTGTCATTGTGAGAAATTAATATTCTGGGAAAGGGTTAAGTTTGTAGCGCACTGCTTATGTTTTAAATGCTCTGGGAATTAATAAGTGGTGGTTGTTGAGGAAACAGCCTCAAAATTTAATACCAGTGACAAGGCAGTAACTTAAAAATTTTACTATTAATTTCTGACTAATAATATTTATTGAATTCCGATACAAATCCTCTATATTCACAGCCATTTTAAAGATTATGCAATGTGAAACCACATGTATTGATGATGCAGTTTAATTTTGTAATTACTTTGTAGTGTGATACATTAAGTAATTTAGGTTAAGTGATGTCAACAGCCTGTTATTAAAATGTATTTCAAATTTGATTCCTCAGGAAACTGCTTTGGAAGAATTTGTTGTTGCTGAAACCCTGGAAGGTGCAAATCAGGTGCAAGATATCATACAATAATGCTCCTTGTCTTTTGTGATTCCCTGTAAAATTTTAGAGTTTATGTGTAGTTAACAATATAGTATAATAAATACTCAGCTATTACAAAATAATTAGAGTGATTTTTTTTCCTTTTTTCATATCTTCAGTATTTCTGTGAGAAGTGCAACAAAAAGTGTGATGCCCACAAGGCAAGTACTGCATTAATATTGTTAATTCTGTTTAATATCATTGGCTTTAACCCTTTAAGCCCCGATATCCACATACAAGTTCTCCAAACTGATCTCTATACATTTCCATAAGGAATAAGGTGAGAGAATTTGATAGAAGATCAAAGCATTTTCTCTTCTAAGGTGATTATTTCTTTAATTCTCACAGCCTTTTCTCTTGATTGTTTATTGATATTCTTAGGACAAAATTGATGTTTGTCACTTTTGGGACTTAAAGGGTTAACTGTGTACAGTATACAGTCTCTTGCTAAGACAGACACCTTAGGGAATGGCACTAAGTTTTCCTCTTACAGAGATGTCAGTCAAATAAATGAAGAAAGGCATGGACCAACTATGGGTGCCCAAATTGCCGACTGAGGTGTCCATCTTTAAGAGATGTTTGTTAAGAGAGAGTCAACTGAACTGTGACCATGTTGTAAATGATTGCTCACAAATTAACACAATCATTTTTCAATCACAGGGTTTAAAGTTCATCTCTTTCCCTTACCTGCTTACTTTACAACTGAAGAGGTTTGCATTTGACTACAACACACTTCACAGAGTCAAGCTAAATGACAGGTCAGTTAAAGGGTTGACTGCAGCGTGGCCTAATGGAAACAGTGGTTGTTTACCTTTCACAAAACTTTTCCGTAAAATCCAGTGGGAAAGTGAATGGAACATAACTTTTTGGTTTGTTCAAGTGGAACATTTTTAGGCATAATGTAACAGAACATCTGAAAAAGTAGTTCTGTTTTTCTGGGTGGAATGTTCCAAAGAGAAATTTGTGTTCCATTTGTGAAATCACATCTTGATACCAGTTTCAGGCCTTAGCAGTCATTTTTTGGTAAAGGGAACTAATTTGTACAAATGGTAAACGCGAATCCAGAACAAAATTTACCAGTCTTAAATTTTGCTTACTATCCCACTTGCCCAAACCGGTTTGCGCATTAATATGGTAAACAACCTGTGTGTCCTACTCCAAGTAGTCAGTGTCTTTTTTGCTTTCACCACTCGCTGGATTAATAATTTCCTAGTACTTGAGTTTACTTCTTTTAAGTCATACTGTTAATAGCAAGCTACAGCATAGTTTACTTTCTGACAGTTCAAATTTTGGAGCATGGTCGTATTTTATATTGATTGTGGTATGCTTCTGTTTTTATGACTGATGTGCCTGTAAACAACTAGCCATAAACAAAACATATTTTCTGCTGCTTTACTACCTCAACTGCAAACTCTCAGTTATGTCTCCATTTACATGTTTAAAAAAAGCTGCCCCCCAATTTTTCCAAGACATCTTGGGACCTGGGTATTTGATCAAAGTGAAAATATGTGTGGTGATCACTGTAAGGGGATTCCAAAAGACTTATAATGTCAAGCCCTTGTAAGGAACAAATTGCAATTTCAAACTGAAAATGACTGAATCTAACATTTTTAGTGGGAGAAGAAGTAGATAAATTTATCATGCATTTTTTTAATTCTATCGGTTTAAAAATATTAACTTTTTAAACTGACAGGATTGATTTCTGTCCCTGTAATTAAGAAATGGTAAACGTGGAGCGTGCAGCCATGGAGTTATGGATGCAGGCAGGAGGTTGCTAAGCATGAAAGAAGAGTAAGAGTCGCATGAGGCGATAGCCGATTGCGACTCTAGCTTCTTGAGTGCTTAGCAAACCTTCAAAGTGCATCCATAACTCCATGGTTGCACAGCTGCAACTTCACTTTTGTTATGTTATAATAACATTAATTTTTCTGTGCCTTTGGTTACGTCAATAGGATGACATTTCCAAAATACCTCAACTTAAGAAGNACTGAATCTAACATTTTTAGTGGGAGAAGAAGTAGATAAATTTATCATGCATTTTTTTAATTCTATCGGTTTAAAAATATTAACTTTTTAAACTGACAGGATTGATTTCTGTCCCTGTAATTAAGAAATGGTAAACGTGGAGCGTGCAGCCATGGAGTTATGGATGCAGGCAGGAGGTTGCTAAGCATGAAAGAAGAGTAAGAGTCGCATGAGGCGATAGCCGATTGCGACTCTAGCTTCTTGAGTGCTTAGCAAACCTTCAAAGTGCATCCATAACTCCATGGTTGCACAGCTGCAACTTCACTTTTGTTATGTTATAATAACATTAATTTTTCTGTGCCTTTGGTTACGTCAATAGGATGACATTTCCAAAATACCTCAACTTAAGAAGTTTCGTCAGTGAGGAGAATGAAGAGGTATAGAATCATTTATTCTTTATTCCCTTAAGATTTTGTGGTCTAATGCACATGCAAGCATGATGCTACTTGCCACTTTAGAAATGAGAGGGAACCTGGGCTACGTGAAGTTTGCAAAGACTTCTGGGACTGTAACTGGGGACAGGGAAACCCAGAAGTCTTCACAAAAGCCAACTCAGTCCAGTTTCCTTCTCCTAACCCTTTAAGTCCCAAGATGGACCAACATTAGTTTTCTCCCAACAATATCAATGGACAATCAAGAAGAAAGCTTATGAGAATTAATAAAATGATCACCAAAGAGAAAATGCTGTGATCGTTTGTCAAATTCTTTCAACTAATTCTTAAAGGAAATGTATGGAGATCAATTTGGAGAATTTGTATGTGGATTTTGAGGCTTAAAGGGTTAATACAGTGGTAAATAGTGGCTATAAGAGCTACATTATGCCCGCTTCATCCACTTAATTGTCAATGAGTAGCTGCACCTCCTCCCAGACAAACCAAGCTTATATTAAACCTTCATGCCCATCATTATGAGCACCAGAGATGCAAAAATACTTAAATAGTTTTTATTTGTATTTTTTTGTTTGAGTAAGAATGGTGCAGACGAAGATACCAGCCTGAAGGGGGATTCCCCCAGCAGTACAGAGACAGACAGTGGGGTGAGTGAAGGTTGCTCTGATAATGGCATGTCCACTGAAGAAGAAGATGTTGACAATGCAAGTGGAGGAATTGACTCAGCAGATGGGACTTCAGAAATGACAGAAGTGGAACTAACTGAAGACTTGCTTAACAGTGGTCTGGCTCACACTATGAAGGTTTGTGTTTTGATTCTGATCCATTAATTGCTGTTACAGCAAATGGCACTTTTCAACAACAACCAACCATTTATTTTCCAATTTAAGAAAGTTTGCAAGGATGTAATAAGTAAACTAGATCAGGCAAATGTATAGAGACCAGTTTGGAGAATTTGTATGTAAATATTGAGGCTTAAAGGGTTAGGAAACTTGCAGGCTTCTGCCTTCATCTCAGAAGCTTCTGTAGGAGTTGAAATGAATTGTAAATTTGATGTCCTCTGTAGATGGGCTGGAGGTCATAGTTCTGCCCCTTTTGTGGTTGTAGCTTAGCAGACTATTCTGAGGCCCTTGCAGATCTGTCAGAATTAATTCTGAAGTGAAAATTCAAGTGCTAGAAATGTTCCATAAGCCCTGTCGAGCATTATCCCTAGTGAAGGCCGCAATTAGGTGAGGCAAAAGAATACATCCCTGATTTTGTGGGAATCAAGTTCATGGCCTCCGAATAAGATCTGCTGTTACCCTGCCAACAGTGTCAGGCAGGAGGAATAAATATTTGTGAGTGGGATTGAGATGGTGATAGATGTCTTTCCAGTATTATAATCATGGTCTTTAAGTGTTGTCACATTGTTGGCTTTTCTTTTCCAGCAGTGGTCACAATTTTTTTTACAACCAAAAAAGATCAGGACGTGACCATAGTGTCTCAAGTCCCAAACTTAGGGTCGTTCGCACTGAAAAGTCCGAAAGAAACGCGTTCAAGTATTAAACGTAGAAATTGACACTACTAGAGGATTATATTTATTTCTTCATTCCACGGTTCTGTTAATACCTTATTAGTGGAAATTAACGATGCACTTTATTAACCAATTTTAAAAAAATCACGTTAATTTAATACATCTTAATTTATGTGGATGTTAATTTAAATCACACTGTTTTATATCATTGTTTTACAGCACCTTTATTTCAATAACCAAACCTCATCTGCTGATAGTTCTCTATCAATGCCTCGGAGTCACTGACAGTTCTTCTGTAAGAATTGAGTTCAAAATGTCTTTCGACTGGTCTTTGTATTGATCTGTTTCTCCGAGGGGATAGCCAACTTCTTCAGTCTTTCTTCTTGGAATACCCATTTACATTTATGTTTTTTCCTTTAGATATATGTACATTGAGAAGTTTGTATCACAGAAAATTGGCGTAAAATAAAGTTTGGCGCACATTGTTTTCGAAAATTCCTTGTTAATTTGATGTATGTAAACCTAACTGTTGGAAAATTTGTATTAATTTTGTGTAATATAAATAATTTCTTCACCTTGTCTACGTGCATCATGAATTTCCTATAATAAGGTATATGAAATTCAAGTATTCATCAGTAGTCATTCCTCTTAATTAAAGTTGCACAGTGCCATTGTTGTACCTTTGAACTTTTGAATTGTGACTTATCAGGGTCCCTACTGGTATGAATTGTTCTCTATTATGATCCACTCTGGGAGTGCCACAGGAGGACACTACTATGCTTATATCAAGTAAGACTTACAAATAATTGTTTCATCAATTAAACAGCAATTTACAAAAATGGTGACCTAGACTAATGTAACTCCCCTTCCTTGAAAAATAAACAAGAACAGCAGCCTATATTAAGCTACATGTAGCGTTTGTGTCCCCTTTGGAACATTTAGTCTAATTATTTTGTATGTAAAGTCACAGCATTTCAGCATCCTCATTGTTACCCTCAGAATTGATTTAATGTAGATTTGGGTTTATTTTTCTATTCATGCATGTAGGTCCTTTACAAATGGGCAGTGGTACTGCTTCAATGACCAGAGTGTATCAAGGGTAAGTTTGGTTTTCAGTCTGGCTTTTTACTGCCAAAACCTTACCTTTTTTTCTCTAAAATTGACTGTTGAATTCATGTTGCACCAAGGCAAAACCCGCAATTATTAATCTGGTGCTTTCCCACCGATGGATCAAAGGACTGGTTTCTGAAGACAAGAGAAAAAGAAGTACGATCAGCCTCCACAACAAGAAAACTTTCAGCTTGTCACCCTGTTGCTGTAGTTCTTAACCCTGCCTGGCAGAGCTTAACTTGCGTTGCACATTGAGTTTACCAAGGGTCTGCCAGATACTACCAGTGTAAGCTAATCTTTCAGCTAAGGATATTAACATTAGTGTACCAATGAGATTTCTTATTTTTTGTGACCCTCCATTACAAATTTCACAATGCACTCTGTCAAACTAGCATTTTTTTGGTGCAGCAATTGAACCCTAAGTTTCACCTTTAGGAACTCCAAAGACCTTTGACTCTCTTTAACAATGAACAACAATGACTATAGAATGACTGAGTGTCAAATATTTTAAGTCCCACATAACAGAAATTGGAAAATGAAAAACCCAAAAGAACATCTGTGTGGGAGACTAGATTAAATAATTAATAATGTGTTGTCTTACATCTACCAGGTTTATGATGATGACATTGAACGTATCTATGGTGGACTGGAATCTTCCAAATATTATTATTCAGCAGCTTATTCAAGGTACTTAATTAATAATAAAAAAATTTCTATCCAGCCGTAATTTCTTGATTTTTTTTTATTCATACATTTAGCAAGTAAGAGGTTTATATTAAGTATGAATTTGGTTGTCAAGTAGCTCCTTCTTAAGTGTTTACTCACTTTAATTGTTCATTCAAGTGAAAACTGTTTGCACATATGAAGTGTTTATTTTCAGTTTAGTAGAACATCCAATCCAATGTTAGAGGACAGGTGTAATGTAGCGAGGGTGGATTAGAATGAACTGTGAATGATAATAACCACCGAAATCAGATTTTTGTCACTAAGCCAAATACCAGCCACGGCTAGAACTTAAGATCCAAACCAGGTTCAGTAGCAATACCAAAGTCAGGAACGCAAAGACATACTAATTTGTTCATAGCAAGAGCTGCAAGACTCCTTTTCTGATCTGTATATTTTTACTTAGTTTTTTTATTAGAATGTCATCTAATAGCATTTCATAGTATATGTTTTTTCACTTTAATTATGTAAATCCATTGTATATATATTTTTAAAGATGGATAAATTTTCATTTTCAGACCTGAGATTATGCAGGCTGTTTGCCTCAGCCCTTTCAAATTCTGGCCCTGGTTGTTCAAACAATTGATAGCGCTATCGACCGGATTTATCATTATCCAGCGGATAAGTATAATAGAAATCAATTACACTATCTGCTGGGTAGAGATTTATCCAGTGGATAGCGCTATGCAATGTTTGAACAACCGGGGCCTGATAATATAGGTTCAGTGAGGCATTTGGATAACATCCACTAAATGTTTATCTCTAATAATCATTGCAGTTCTACCAATGCATACATGTTGATGTACAGGCAGGTCGCTCCAGAAAGAAATGCTAAATTCCTGGAGCAACATGACATGCCTGCACACATAATAGAGTTAATTCACAATTTGAGGCATTTGGAAGAAGTGGAAAGAAAGAGAAGAGAAATGGAAAGGTCCATGTGCAAGGTACAGCTAAAAGAATAATATGTCGCATGATTTTCAGGGTTGTCACTAAGACCTGATGCCCTCTGGCGTTCCACAGAAAATTCTCTTGGGAATCTTCCTCTTTTAAGCCTTGATTATCAATATTGAATGCCTCAAAAGGCCACATATTTCCCTTTTCAGGGAGAAAGAATCCTTGAGTTATTTATAAAGAGCTATGTCTTTGACACTTACCCCTCAATTATTGTCTGATACGTACACCTGAGTCTACTCTTCCTGTGTTCAATTGTTCGCCTGACAATAATTCACCTCTTTGGAAACAAGAAGAGAACTGGAGCTGAAAGGTGTCTTGCAGTGGTTTCAGGGATCATTACTGGGGGTGTGCCGGTCAGCTATTGGCCAGTAACTGTCCCTAGTGACCATCCCAGAAGTCTTTGCAGCATGCAAAGAAAGTCGTGTCTGATGGCCCAGGGCTAGTGGATTTTGCAATCGGGCTAGTGAATCCTGTTCTTAAACCCTTTCACTGCCAGAGTGCTTGATGGGGTTTTGTAAGGTGACTCTAACTTTTGAGTCTGTGGATGAAATCCTATGGTGTGACCATTCAAATGAAAGCTCTTTACCTGTACTTTCACATGATGCTATTTGTTTCTCAAAATTTTAGAAAGTGAAATTTCATGATGGTTTTATTATCTGATCTGCTTGCTTTTGTTTTGATTCCTTCAGATAAAGATCTTTTGTGAACATCCAGTCAGGAGGACAATGTCAGAACAAAAATTAGAAATTCATAAGGATTGCACACTGAATGAGGCAGTAGCCATTGCACATAAGGTGAGAGAGAGTTACCATTGTACAGTGTCACCCTCCCTGACAGATGCCTCTCTAAGATAGACACCTCCATTGAACTTAACACGTAGCAGTTTGCCAGTTGTTCTAAATTAGTGAATTTCCTCTTAGTGAAGAACCCCTCCCAAAAAGGACTCCTGAAGTTAGAAAGCAGGAACATGTATTTTCACCATACATGTATTTTCATGGTGTTTTAATATTTTAATAAAATTTATACTAGAGGAACTTGCAGTGCTTAACCTTAAAATTTTTGCACTTCTTATACTTGAAGTTGAATTTAAACGGTCAGCAGCATATTAATAATATACAGAGTCAGGGCTGTGTTCTGGCTTCTAATGACCCCTGCAGCCCAACTTTTGCGCTTGGGTGACTACAAAATCTTAGTGGTATCATACAAATCATATGCTGAGCATCCTAGATTTTACAGGTTCAGAACACTGGGTTCCCTTCAATTTACCTTAGAACACAGCCTTGAGAGTATGAAATATAACCCTCTCAGCAGAACTGCAAATCAAGGTCACATTTTTCCTGTCTCAAGACAGAATGTTAGAACACGTGTTCTTTGTTGTATTCTAGCCATAGATAAAGAAATGCAAGTATATTCAGTACAAGTTGTCCTAAAGGTTTGTTGCGGTGGATTCAAAGTGGTTTTTTAATAATATTAGTAAACTGTTATTTTTTTATGACTAGCTTTTCCTTCTGGGCAAGATACTTCCTGTTGAACAGTGCAGAATTGTGAAGTATGATGAATACTATGACTACATTGAAAGGTCATTTGATGGAGAAGAGGTGAGTGTCAGAGTTGATTTCTTCGGACTTTTAAGATAGGGGAAAGGACCCTTCTAAAGTAGCTACTATCAGACCATAAGAGTTTGGTCTTACCAACGAGGTGGCCATTATAAGTGGTGGATTTGAGTGGCCATAGTTATAAGGCAGAGTCCCTAATTTCCGCCCATTAGGATCTTTGTCCACGGTACCACTTTGTCATGTAACTGGTACAATTGAAGAGATCTTTCAACCATCCACGATTCCGTCACAACAGGTTGGAGAAATACGTAAAAAAAGAACATGTTAAGTAAATTGACCTGAAAAATCCAATGAAAAACCACTTCCTTCATGCACTCTTAGAATCCTGAAAAGTTTTTCCAAACACCTGTCACACCAGAATGTAAAATAACAAAACCGTGCAAGAAAAGTGTAACAAGCAGTGAAGAAAGAAAGCAAAGGTAATTGTCAAGGCAGCCGTGTCTTGTTCAAACCCAAAAGTCAAATTTTTATTTTTGGTGGATGCCCAAACTTTGGAAGCTTGTATTTTGCACCAGGAACAAAAGGCAGCCCAGTGCTTGACTCATAAACAGTGTTTTGCAAAGTTTTCACTAGGCCTTTTTCAGCAAATGTTTAAGGACAAATGGGTTAAGAACGTTTTCAAAAAAATGAGTGATTGTACCAAAAAAATCAATGCATATTTTGTCCAAATTTTAAGTAGATTTTATTAGCTAATTTTTTCCAGGCACTAGCAGTGTTGTCGTAAATATTGTTTTTACCAATTGCAGAATGATCCAATGGGAAAGGTCCTCTGTGGAGTGAAGCAGTCCTACATGTTTGACCTCCTCCTTGAAACAAGAAAGCCCCATGAAAAATTTTCTGTATACAAACATGGTGGTTAGTAACCTTTGTCAACTGGTGACTATGTAAAACTATCTCATCTGACTGAGTCCTGGCTGTTACAATTTTGTACTTAATATCTATATCTGTATTGAAGAGTTTTTTTTTTCAAAACATCTTCAGATAAATGTCTTAAAGACCATTTTCAGTGATGTCAGCCTAAAATTGAAATTTACTTTGGTGGAAATTCTATACCAATGCTTGAAGATCACCTCTTGTCAAGTTTTGTTACTACTTAATGTAGGGACTTCCTGATGTCAGTTTTGTAGTTTTGAACTGTTTGTTTCCTCCCTTCAGCCTGTAACCTAAACATAACCTTGCTAGGTTACCAAACAAGAGGCGGTCTTCCTGCTAAAATTAATTTGAACATTTGGTTGAGGTCACTGAGGCTGGCTGACTGAGGTCTTTATTTGTTAATCTTACAATCAAATTGTTATCAAATTTTTAAAAGGATAATATTTTATTTATGGTTTATAATTACAGCTGTTTCAGATATCACGCAACCTGCAATGTCAAAAATGTCTTTGGGTGTTTCTGTGACGTCAATCAAACTCTGAAGAATCGGCACTTTCTCGCCTTCACATCTTAGTGGACCTCTTAGGAAACAAAAGGTCATGGTTTGTGATTTGTGATTGGTGGATTTGGATCCATTTTGTGTGTTTCTAGGTTCATTGCTTTTGAACTTCATAGTTCGGTTGCATGTTTTTGAAAAGCAGAGTAATTTAAATTACCTTAGCTCTAAATTTTTTTTATCTTCTTTATACTGAAACATGGCAAGTTTAGATTTTTCCTATAGAGCTTCCAAATCCAGAAGAAAAACAGAAATGGGAGGGTGAAAACATATCGGTATGTTCCTGCTAACATTCTGCTCATTATTGCTGCCTATATTATTTGACAAACACGGTGGATGCTACGGTAACAGTTTGATTGACTTCACAGAAAAACCGAAAATCCTGAAACGTTCCTGACAATTCAGGTCAGCTGTAAGAAAACCATAATGGATTATTACCTAGTACTTGTAACCGCTGATCCTACAACTGGCTGCTATTACTGCAACAAAAGATGTTTTCAGTCAGTGATATAGGCGACATGTGGAAGTAAATAATATTAATTTTGAGTACTCCCAACTAGAGTGGAACCTATGACCTTGTGGTTACTCTGACTGCAAAGGATGAACATTGTATTTCAACATCAGTATTGTCTCTTACCTCTATAGGAGTAACTGTCAAAGTTCATGTTGTTGATCTTGAAAAAGAAAAAGTTGCTCCACCCACTAATGTACGACCACTGCTAAGCTGGACTGTGAAAGACCTCTACAGTCTCATTCATGAGGTAATAAGGAATAGGCCTTTTTCATGATGATGACATTTGACTACAACTAACAGAATTCATTTTGTTTTTGCTTTCTTACTGAAATATGTCAATCCTGCTGAGGTTTAAACAACAATAGCTCTAATTTGCACAAGAAAACAACAAACTGAAGGATTCTTTTTATTGTAACTAAAAATGTCATCATTGCATCATTGTCACACGTTGTTGTATTTTTTAGGGATGTAACAGAGCCATTGTTAGTGTTGATCTTCAGCAAAAAGGTCAGAGTGGAAAATAAAACTTAAAATAATGAAAAATGCATTTTTTTTCCTTAGAAATTTAGCCTTCCCCTAGAAACTATGAGAGTAGTGTTTGAAGGAACATACAGTGAACTTAAGTTGCTGAACAACCCCAGTAAAGTATTAAAAGACCTTGGATTCTTCAAATCTAACAAGGTAAAACTGTTGAACAATAATAATATTATTATTGTATTATTCAATTGACAGATCAATAGATTTTTTGTATTACCAGTAATCACTTCTGATCAAAAGGTGATTATTTATCTGGGCTGAGCTCCTGCAACGCCGGTTCACACTAATCCAGGGTTTTGTGTAACTGGGGCTCATGAGGTTTTATTCCACTTTTTTCTTCAAAAGCCTAGTTGTGTTAACCCAAAATAACAGTTGTAAGCAGTCGTGCATTAGATTAAAGCTTATCACCTTTCAAGAAGCTGGATTGTGGGCTAATGTATCACTTTAGGGACAACAAGGATGGAAATCAATGCATAGATGTATGGAAGATAATCTTAGAAAATAATTATTGTAATTTTTTTATTGCATGAAGATTTTTTAAACGTTAAAATTTAGGGGTTTTGTTTGTTTGAGGTCAAGGGTGGTGGAGTGACAAGAGCACTAAAACCTGAGAAAACAGCCACCATTTCGCGACACCACCAACAACTTTCCTGTGGTATGATGTTTGAGTTGGCGGAGAATTTAAGTTTTCCAAATTTGAGTTAACTGAGTAAAAATGACTGAAAAGTGGGGTAAAATCCAGGAGAAATGGGACCTAGTTCGAGTCATCTGAGATAAAATAACTGATTTTCTACTGACAGTGTACCAAATTATGGGAAATTAACTCACCACAAAATTAAGTTATTGGAGATTATTGTTATTGTTAATTTCATGAAGCGTTAATTTCCAGTAATAAGGCATGATTTTATTTGTACTCGTAGGTGTTTGTTGAGGCATCATCACTGGAAGAAGGTCTCTCCTTTGAAAAGTCTCAGCTGTACAAAGTGTTGGATGTTTATCAGCACACCATTCAGCTCTGTGTTTTTTTGCCTGATCTTTCCAAGAAACCGTCAGGTTGGTTTACCAGGAGTTTTTCTGACAGAACAAAATTTTCCACCTTTTTTTTGTAGTCTTAAAAGGAGCCTTAGGTGTCAGTAAACCAACTTTTCTCAATGAACAATAATTAATTTTTTAATGAATAGGCTAGTGGAAAACAAGAAGTAAAGATTTTGCTCTAGTGAGTTGGTGGCTATCATGTTATGATGTAACCATGATATGGTTATTACCAGGGTTGTCAAAAGTAGCCAGCTGCCTGCAAAAATCGCGCCTTGGTTAGTATCAGCCAGCTACTCTGCTTGGCATTTCTCTACGGATGGCGTTTTTTAAATAAATTAATATCCCTGAACTGGCTGCTTACTTTGACAACTCAGCCGTCTACTTCAAAACTTTCTGGCAACTCTGATTACATTCATTTATTTACATTTAGAGAGTACAAGTAGATATATATGTGAGGCTGCTGTTGACGCTGACAAAAATGAAAAGGGAAAAGGTAATATTCAAAAAACAGGTGTATACCAGCTTTCTGGCTTTATTATTGAAAGTTTAGCCAAATCTTTGCCTAGTGCCTCTTATTTCCTAGAAATGTGAACTTGTTAACAGTTTTTTTTGGTACATCAATAAACGTCCAAACAAACTTTATACTTTTCGATTGTGAAACTCCCAGTCGGAAACAGTCTAGTCATTTGATTACAGGAGTCTGGTTCCCGATTACGATTTTTGTAGTCGAAAAGTAAGGAGAAACCTTTGTGGTAAACGGACCATAGTATATATCAACTCTGCCATTGCTAAAGCCAATTTTTATATACCAGCTCACTGACACGGGCATTTTTTTTTTCAAAACAAATCCATTGAACCAAGCTCAAATTGAAAGAAGTCACCTTTTGGTGCTGTAAAATTATAAAATGGTCGCCAGATGAAATAAAATATAACAGTAAATGACACTTTATGCAATGATTATTACAGTCCTGAAAGGTTTAAAGAATCAATAAAGGCTACCAAACTATGCAGCTAAACCTTGTCACTTATGATAATTGTCATGTCCCCCAACTTGACCTTTTTTAGTGGACTAATAGTAATCAAATTATTATGCAAATTATTTTCGTATAATGTGCAGTTCTATTGCTATTATTTAGAAATGTAAGGAGACTACTGTATGCGGAATAATTTGCATGTCAAAAAATTATATTACATGAGCTAAAAGGTTGGATAACCTTATGGATGCATTCTTTGTTTAATGGGACTTCTATCTTTCTTTTCTTACCATTAGAAAAACTTTTTTCTATTGACAAGAGAATCACACTTGAAAAACTGAAAGAAATTCTGCAAAATGATGTACAGTGCTCTCCTGAATTTTTTAGGGTAAGTTATTTGGTAATTGAAATATTCCTTCTTGTGAAGCAAGTACACTAAAACCCTGCTCACTCAAACGCCAATATTTAGCAATAATTAATGAATGGAGCTGAGTAGGGTATGAAGAATTAAGCAGATCGAGGAGGGTGTTTATTATTGGCTGAGGTGGATAACACCCTCCGAGTTCATTAATTGCTTTATTAATTGCATTAATTCCCTCCAAATTCATTAATTGCTTTATTATTCATTCAACTGAAATAATTTCTAGTTTAAAAACATAGCTAAAATATGCTTACCTGCATCGATGTTAAGTTCATCTTCGATATTTGTCCAGCTCCACAAATATTCTCCAAATAACAGATGTCGCCCTCCGAGTTGTCTTCTTGCTGTTTTTGCCATGTTTTTAGCTATTATTTCGCCTAGTTCCATCTGTAGTTCTTACTCTTCAAACGAGTGAAATGTCCACAATTTTTTTTCACAACCAAAACAACTCAACCTCGTCCACAGGTTTTCTCGTTAATGGTGCCTTAACCTGTAGCGGGCTGCATTTTCAATGTCATCTCGTCGTGAAACACAGAATTCTTCCAAATTTGGTCATCAGTGACTGGTTATGGTGAATTATGCGTGTGCTTTTAGCCAATCAGAATTGTGATATATTTTGAATGAATAATAATATTACTCTATTCTCAGGTTTATAGAGTTTACTCAAATAACCAAGAAATTGAATACAGCCATTTGTCAGATTCTTTGACAAACTTTGCTGATGACTCTAAGGTATGTTCCCTGTTTCTTTAATATTGTGTGTACTGTACATATTTATTTTTGATGGGATTTCATTCATTGAATTCAAGAACTTGCCAATGACAATCTGTAAGAGCATAATTATCATACTAGTACTACTGTTGTTGTCCTTGTTATTATTATTATTATTATTATTATTATTATTATTATTATTATTATTATTATTATTATTATTACTATTGACATTATTTTCCTTTGTAGCTGCGAGTCAAATATGGCCGTGCTCTCAAGAAAGGGGAGCATCAACTGAAAATATTTTTGCTGACTCCAGCTGAAAAGGAGGTAAGTTTATTTTCAAACCTTGTTAAATAAAATAGGGTTGAAATAAACTTTCTTAAAAGGCAGACAGTATGCTCAGGAAAGAGTAGCATAATTAGTATTCCATTGATTTCTGAGCAGACTGTTTGCTGTTTCAACTCTATTCAAAACAAAATCTTTATGGTGGAGTGGAGGAGGTCATGGCCTGGCCTGGGGTAATTTACTGACCCCCTCTAAAACATTTGAAAAATTCAATGTGTGATGGCTACCATTATAATCACTCAAGACCACTTTTTTCTATGGAGAAAATTTTGATGTAATTAGGGGAAAACTTAGGAAACTGAGTTTTTGTAACTATAAAGCAAAGTGAGCTCTTATGTTGAACAAAGCAAATTAAATTAACCGTGAACATTCCAACTTTGTGCAAAATTATTTATTCAAAGAATTATGTTCATGATTATGAATTGATGCCACTATCGGATCTGTATACTGTATTTTGTAAAGGGTTAAATTGGTCACTGATCTATAGAGAATGAAATGTCTACCAGGAAAATCAGGTGATTGTCATAATATTATTATTAATAATACTTATTTTATAAAGGACATACATGTTTCGTCTTTCAGCCTTTCAAATACTTTTGTGACTGGATAGCAAGTGACGGGATGTCAGTAAAAACCTGCAAAGAACTTTTGCTACCAGAGATCTGTAAAAGATGTGGCCTTGATGTACCAGTTGAAAAGTATGTTTTATTAGTTATTAGTTTGTTTGAATGTGGATTAGTGGGAAAACATACCTGTTCAAGATAATGGCCATCAAACCAACTGCAAATGATACCATCAAATTTATCTCAATTTCTCGGCATGGCTAGACGTTTGTCAGTTCTTGTCCTCTTTTTTCTTCTTATGCAGTATTAAATAACACCTGAATATTTTCCAACTACAGTACGGTGAAACCTTGATATAACAAACCTCTATCCATTTAACAAAGTCCTTGGTGTAACAAATGCATTCTTTGCCCCAGAAATAGCACAGTATGTGAAAAAGAACCTCAATATAACAAAACCTCTTTAAAGCAAACAAATTTTGCCAGTCCATTGGGCCTTTTTGATATTGAGGTTCCACTGTAACGTCAATAGATTGCTAGAGAATTTAACAAATGTTTTGTTAATTTTCTAATTTTCATGGTGTTTGGTCCAATTTTAAGAATTTCTTTCCTAAGAAAGTCTCATTTAATGTAAGTCTTTATGATTTATGAATTTTAGTCTCAGAATGAGAAGAAAAAACTGGAAAAATCCTGGAAGAGTCTATGTTGACAGCCAAGTATTTGAAGAAAACATCCAAGTATATGCAAGCTTTGAAGTGTTTCTGGAAATACTAGAAGGTCTGTCAATCTCTTCATCAAGTTATCAGATCACTGTAATCACTTGTAGTGTACTTCATTTTCTCATTTCATGCTGATATTAGCACAAGGATGTTTGCGTTTACAACATAAGCTTGATAATTATAAGGCAGCAGATTCAGAATCATATAATTCCCTTAGAGTAGAGTAATGTTGGCACCAAGGAATAAATCTAATTTGTCAATGGGAAAGAGCGGTTTCTTGATGAGTGTATTTCTTGGTTACTTAATGTGCTTGTGGTGATGCCTTTTTTAACATGTCCATTCCTTACTGGGAATAATGACATAAGCATATTAAAACAACTAAGGAGAACAAAAGATGTTCATATTCTTATGCAGCTTCTGCATAAGAATCCTGCCTCCAATTTCAGCAAGTTTCCAGATGTGTCAGCTGCAGTTTAGTGGCCACTGTTGGAGAAGCAAGAATGAGACTTTTTCCCAACTACTTTTTTAGGAACCAAAACATGGCAGACACTCAAAGGGAGCACCCAGCAACAACCAACAACATTTATTGACCAACCTAGAAAGTAACACCAGTCTTTCGAGGCAGGATCTTGCATCTGTCATGGCCAACAGACGGGAGGGGGACAGATTTATAAAATCAGTGCGGGTGCACCCGAAATAGATAGACAGATAGATGCAGCATCCCTTTTGCTTACAATTTAAGTTTCAGCTTTCCTCGCTAGCATGCAGTAGTGAGACCTGGGCTATGATGTGCATATTAACTGCCAGTTACTACATTCTAACCATCAGGTCCTGAGAGAATGACCTCAGCAGATCAACTGTCATTGTATGTTAGACATTGGCATCCTTCAACATTAACAATTGACCCTCCAAAAGAAGTTGTTCTAAAGGAGAGCTTGGTTGAACACTTAAAGGAAGCGGTAACAATACTCTTTATTGTATTAATGATTTATTAATAACACTTTCTTTTATTTTATGACTAGTGACATCGTTACTTTTTTCAGATGAGTACACTTAGTGGCATTCCAGAGGAAAATTTAGAGCTTTGCAAGGTATGAACTAGGCAAAAACTTTTTCTTTGTTCCATGTTCGTGTTATGCTGATTACCACATCTTGCACATTCATTTACATAGCTTAAAATTCACCATCTACAACCCTGGTCAAAACTTCTTGAGAAACTTGAGGAAATTAGGCACAAAGACGCACTTTGTTAAATTAACTCATATTCTACCTCTTAAAAAAGCTTGGGGATGTTGTTATAAGGGGCTATTTCTGCTGTCCCCCTCTCCCCCAATCGGTGTTAATTGTGTTGAATTAAAACTGGAATACATAACGTCAACACTGCACCGAGGGGGAAGGAGGAAGGGAAGATGCCTCAATTTGACGAGCTATTGCATTAGTGCCCCAAGAAAATTGACCAGGGTTGTATCTATATTATATATGATGTGTTGAATTATAATGCAGTCAAAATTTGTATTAATTTTTATTAAATGGTACAAACTTGGGTCCAGGTCCCCATATTACTGTTGATATTAAAAATTATCACTGTTTGACTACAGAAAGGAAGTCAGTGTTGTAATAAACCTGGAGGTTTGAATTCTGATTTCTTCTGCATCCAGTTGTAATTCACAGTCATTCAGTTATAGCACATAGTCACTAATTTCTGGTTTCCAGGGCCGTGGACAGTTCCCTTGTGATGCACCAGTCCTTGAAATTCATGGAAATGATTTTGGTTGGACAGCTGACTTGACATCTCTTGGGTCTAGTCCTTTATTTATCAATGACGATGGAGCAGTGGTATTTTACAGGTGTGTAAAGATTACCAACATAACAGACTCGACCTGAAATTACTTTTGGGGGCATTTATTGCATTGTAGCATTCTGTAACATTGCCCAACAGACAAGCAAATCAGAGTAGCTTTCCACTTGCTCCAGTTAAAGTTAATGTTTCTGTGCATTCCTTTTAGAATGTGGTTTATCAACCTCACTGTGAATAACCTGAACACTTTTACTAAAGATTTAAGAGGGGGCTCTGGAAATGAAAATGGTGATCCTACAATTTTGAGGTTTCACATTCATTAGACCATTTTTATCCCCCCACATTTAAAAAATTTACCCAACTTCACGCTGTTATTATCATTGTCATCATCATTATAGGTCCTGCATGTTCCTATTGGTAGAAACTAGATTAGAGCACCAACAGAAACTGTACCAGCCTTATTATTTGCCACAATGATAGAAAAGAGCAAAACGATGATGGAAAGTTATAAATAAAACACCAGCACAGTATTTTGTGGTAGTCTGTTGTTTGGAGGCAACTTTCGCATTTTTCTCAATTTCCTATAAGCTCTGCTGTAATTTTTGTCCTTTCCGTATGCATATGAGACAGGTGGAAAAAAAGACATGGTTATCGACTATTATAATCTACTATGTGTTACTGGAGTCTAGAATTTACCTCTCATTTTTGCAGAGATAAAACAGAACATCTAATGGAAATATCAGAAGAAAAGAAACAGGAAATCATGAAAAAAGAAAATGCCAAGTGAGTCTTCCTGTTTTAATTTTTAAAGTTTCTTTCTGTGATTCATCCTTGGGTTGCGCCCCTAAAAGTTAAATGGCCTTATCTACCCAGCAAGGCAGCAATATTCTATGTTTAGTTTTTGTGATCCATCTCCAGGGCCGAGTTGTTCAAAGCAGGGTTAAGTTAATCCAGGGTTAGTGCGAAATTTGATTTCATATATGAAAGCTTGAGAAGCAAATTCAGTTGTATTCTTTTTGCCTACAATTGATGATTGGATGCTGTAAAAAGAAGAGAGAAAATTCTCCGGGAAATGCTTTTGAACAAAAGAAAAAGAAACCCGGGTTAAAATTTAACCCTGGGTTAGCGCTAATCGGCCTTTGAACAACTCAGCCCAGGAGTTACTTTCTTGATATAGCAGTGCCCAGTCACCAGCAAAAGTTATTAATAACAATTTTCCCAAACATATTCTTCAAGGAAACTTAAAACAACAATGCAAATACAATTAATGCTGTCTAACAGATGCTCCCATAAGCAGAGTGCTGTCGGTCAACCTTCAAAAAACACCTGTTTGAACTCCCATACAATAGACACTACATTTTTGTATTTCTGTAAGCAGAAACAAATTTAATATTAAGAGGAAAACTATTTTTGGTTTTTATTCTCCTGTGAATGAATATTATTGTACAATAAGACAATGAAAGAAACAGGTAAACAACAATAACGATGGTCACACTGTATTGTTCTTTTGTTAGTACAATATTTTAGTGTGAATTTTCACAAGCTCCCATAAGCTACCGCCCTTCTGTTAATAAATCCTAGAGATGAGTCGGGCCATTCCTGTTGGTCTCCACAGGGGCTGTGCTGTAGTAGCACCTGGTGGCCCCTGATGACAGTAGGGCCATTCCTGTTGGTCTCCACAGGGGCTGTGCTGTAGTAGCACCTGGTGGCCCCTGATGACAGTAGGGTCATTCCTGTTAGTCTCCACAGGGGCTGTGCTCTAGTGGCACCTGGTGGCCCCTTGATGACAGTAGGGTCATTCCTGTTAGTCTCCACAGGGATGAGCTCTAGCAGCACCTGGTGACCCCTGGTGCCTTACTTTTGGTGCTTAAACAGTTTACAAATCTTAGTTTTTTGCTAAGCGCCCTGAATTTCGCAGTTTCAGTTTCAGAGCACTGGCCTCCCTTCAGTTTTTCTTAGAGCACAGCCTTGGGCCAGCTCCAGCTAGAAACACATATTCTGTTTCTCAAGGGTGTCTGTTTTCAGTGGCTTGTGTTGCAAATGTGTTCAAACCCTAACTAGTAACATCTGCAAAGAGGTGCCAAGATCCTTGTTCTAGGGCCCCAACAGACTCAATGAATTACCATACCTGAGTTTTGGATTTCCCTTCAACCTGATTGGCAAATGGACAATGGCTTTTTTAACAGGCCAATGATGGCACATTGTCAAGTCCTGGTACAAAGATGGGCCCAAAACAAGGATTTCAGGGGTGGCTCAGAGACAGACATAACCAGAGGATTGGTTGCATCTGTCACGCAGGCTAATATTTGGGAGTTTCAACTGAGTGTATAATAATATCAATTTAAAAATAACTAGGGAAAAGGTCTGATACTTATCAGCTCTTTTGAAACAAAAAGAGCTTATTCTGATGTTCACTAAACTTTGAAAACCAGAATCAGAAGGAAATTAATATTATTCTTACTGTTTATTTCAGGACCAACAGCTCTTTTTATCAATGACGATGGAGCAGTGGTATTTTACAGGTGTGTAAAGATTACCAACATAACAGACTCGACCTGAAATTACTTTTGGGGGCATTTATTGCATTGTAGCATTCTGTAACATTGCCCAACAGACAAACAAATCAGAGTAGCTTTCCACTTGCTCCAGAATTCTGATGGCATGCAGACAGTGCAAAAGTTAATGTTTCTGTGCATTCCTTTTAGAATGTGGTTAATCAAGCTCACTGTGAATAACCTGAACACTTTTACTAAAGATTTAAGAGGGGGCTCTGGAAATGAAAATGGTGATCCTACAATTTTGAGGTTTCACATTCATTAGACCATTTTTATCCCCCCACATTTTAAAAATTTACCCAACTTCACGCTGTTATTATCATTGTCATCATCATTATAGGTCCTGCATGTTCCCATTGGTAGAAACTAGATTAGAGCACCAACAGAAACTGTACCAGCCTTATTATTTGCCACAATGATAGAAAAGAGCAAAACAATGATGGAAAGTTATAAATAAAACACCGGCACAGTATTTTGTGGTAGTCTGTTGTTGGGAGGCAACTTTCGCATTTTTTTAAATTTCCTATAAGCTCTGCTGTAATTTTTGTCCTCTTCGTGTGCATATGAGACAGGTGGAAAAAAGACATGGTTATTGACTATTATAATCTACTATGTGTTACAGGAATCTAGAATTTACCTCTCATTTTTGCAGAGATAAAACAGAACATCTGATGGAAATATCAGAAGAAAAGAAACAGGAAATCATGAAAAAAGAAAATGCCAAGTGAGTCTTTCTGTTTTAATACAGTGTGGTTTGGTCAGTCTAAAGCTTGTGATTTTTGTTAACTTTGTGAAGTTTCTTTCTGTGATTCATCCCAGGGCTGGGCCCCTAAAAGTTAAATGGCATCATCTACCCAGCAAGGCAGCAATATTCTATGTTTAGTTTTTGTGATCCATCTCCAGGGCCGGGTTGTTCAAAGCAGGGTTAAGTTAACCCAGGGTTTGTGCGAAATTTGATTTCATATATGAAAGCTTGAGAAGCAAATTCAGTTGTATTCTTTTTGCCTACAATTGATGATTGGATACTGTAAAAAGAAGAGAGAAAATTATCCGGGAAAATGCTTTTGAACAAAAAAAAAGAAACCCGGGTTAAAATTTAACCCTGGGTTAGCACTAATCGGCCTTTGAACAACTCAGCCCAGGAGTTTCTTTGTTGCTACAGCAGTGCCCAGTCATCAGCAAAAGTTATTAATAACAATTTTCCCAAACATATTCTTCAAGGAAACTTAAAACAACAATGCAAATACAATTAATGCTGTCTAACAGATGTTCCCATAAGCAGAGTGCTGTCGGTCAACCTTAAAAAAACACCCGTTTGAACTCCCAAACGATAGACACTACATTTTTGTATTTCTGTGAGCAGACACAAATTTAATATTAAGAGGAAAACTATTTTTGGTTTTTATTCTCCTGTGAATGAATATTATTGTATAATAAGACAATGAAAGAAACAGGTAAACAACAATAATGATGGTTACACTGTGTTGTTTTTTTGTTGGTACAATATTTTAGTGTGAATTTTCACAAGCTCCCATAAGCTACCGCCCTTCTGTTAATAAATCCTAGAGTCCTGTTGGTCTCCACAGGGGTTGTGCTGTAGTAGCACCTGGTGGCCCCTGATGACAGTAGGGTCATTCCTGTTTGTCTCCACAGGGGCTGTGCTCTAGTGGCACCTGGTGGCCCCTTGATGACAGTAGGGTCATTCCTGTTAGTCTCCACAGGGCTGAGCTCTAGCAGCACCTGGTGACCCCTAGTGCCTTACTTTTGGTGCTTAAACAGTTTACAAATCTTAGTTTTTCGCTAAGCGCCCTGAATTTCACAGTTTCAGTTTCAGAGCAGTGGCCTCCCTTCAGTTTTTCTTAGAGCACAGCCTTGGGCCAGCTCCAGCTAGAAACACATATTCTGTTTCTAGAGGGTGTCTGTTTTCAGTGGCTTGTGTTGCAAATGTGTTCAAACCCCAACTAGTAACATCTGCAAAGAGGTGCCAAGATCCTTGTTCTAGGGCCCCAACAGACTCAATGAATTACCATACCTGAGTTTTGGATTTCCCTTCAACCTGATTGGCAAATAGACAATGGCTTTTTTAACAGGCCAATGATGGCACATTGTCAAGTCCTGGTACAAAGATGGGTCCAAAACAAGGATTTCAGGGGTGGCTCATAGATAGACATAACCAGAGGATTGCTTGCATCTGTCACACAGGCTAATATTTGGGAGTTTCAACTGAGTGTATAATATTATCAATTTAAAAATAACTGGGAAAAGGTCTGATACTTATTAGCTCTTTTGAAACAAAAAGGGCTTATTCTGATGTTCACTAAACTTTGAAAACCAGAATCAGAAGGAAATTAATATTATTCTTACTGTTTATTTCAGGACCAACAGCTCTAGTTCTAGAGTTGGCAGACTTTTACACAAAGAAAGAGCTCTTAAAATTTATACTCATGACGATAAACCCAGCAACTGAAAGCAGAAGGAAACACTGATCATTGCAAAGTAAAACAAAATCAATTCTGTAGGACCTAGTCTGGCTAAACCTGGCTACCCTGGATTGAGTAGACAGTGATAAGCAGGGTTGTCAGAAAGTTTTGAAGTAGACAGCTTAGTTGTCAAAGTAAGCAGCCAGTCCAGGTATATTTTATTTAAAAACGCCATCCGTAAAGAAATGCCAAGCAGAGTAGCCGGCCAATACTAACCAAGTAGGCAGCAATTTTTGCCGTCAGCCGGCTACTTACGACAACCCTGGTGTTAAGATGGTCTTTAAGATTCCAATTATTGTGACATATTTTTTGCAGGATTGTGCGTTAGAATTATTTCAGTAGGACTTTTTCATGTTGACTGTCAGTAGGCTTTTGAAAATGAAATTGTATTAAAGCCCTTGTGATAAACTTCACAAGGGTTTGATTTATTTTCACATAAATGATATTTTTTGTCAGTTAAAAGCATAGTAATTCATTTTTTTAATTTTTTTTTTTTGCTCAGTGCATGCACCCCAAAACCTCATTTCCAGGGTTCTCTGGTAGGAGAGGACCCTGGTAACAAGGTTGCATGCACCCCAGCGGGGTACTATAGTAAGTGGAATAGATTTCTAAATATAGCTTACTGTTCAGTTTCCTCTAGAACTGTAAAACCAGAATCAGAAGGAAATTAATATTATTCTTACTGTTTATTTCAGGACCAACAGCTCTAGTTCTAGAGTTGGCAGACTTTTACACAAGGAAAGAGCTCTTAAAATTTATACTCATGACGATAAGCCCAGCAACTGAAAGCAGAAGGAAACACTGATCATTGCAAAGTAAAACAAAATCAATTATGTAGGACCTAGTCTGGCTAAACCTGGCTACCCTGGATTGAGTAGACAGTGATAAGCAAGGTTGTCAGAAAGTTTTGAAGTAGACAGCTTAGTTGTCAAAGTAAGCGGTCAGTCCGGGTATATTTTATTTAAAAAACGCCATCCATAAAGAAATGCCAGGCAGAGTAGCCGGCCAATACTAACCAAGAAGGCAGCAATTTTTGCTGTCAGCCAGCTACTTTTGACAACCCTGGTGTTAAGATGGTCTTTAAGATTCCAATTATTGTAACATATTTTTTGCAGGATTGTGCATTAGAATGATTACAGTAGGACTTTTTTATGTTAACTAGTAGGCTTTTGAAAATGAAATTGTATTAAAGCCCTTTTGATAAACTTCACAAGGGTTTGATTTATTTTCACATAAATGATATTTTTTGTCAGTTAAAAGCATAGTAATTCATTTTTTTCCAAATTTTTTTTTTGCTCAGTGCATGCACCCCAAAACCTCATTTCCCAGGGTTCTCTCGTAGGAGAGGACCCTGGTAACAAGGTTGCATGCACCCCAGCGGGGTACTATAGTAAGTGGAATAGATTTCTAAATATAGCTTACTGTTCAGTTTCCTCTAGAACTGAATGTTCTTGATTGGTAATACTGTGGTCAGTTACTACTTTGTATATTGAACAACCAATGGATGAAATTCCAGAATATACCACAGTTTGATTTTTATGCTCTTCACTTTTATGCAACTCAAAGCAAAACATACTTTCAGGTGAAAAATTGCAAGCTGAAAACTATTCTTTGTACCTCCACCCCCACTCACCCTCCTGCCATTTTGCCCTGAGATGCATCCAAGAACAACATGATTTGTTCTTTATTGTTGAATACCTACTCCTGGTGCTGAGAGGAGAAGCTTAGTCTCAAGACTTTTTACATTCCAGATTTGTATGGTGGTTTATATTTAAACTGCCAATCACCTATTTGTTTAGACCTTCAGTATTGTGCTACAGCTGGTCACTGCTGACCCACCCTTTTTTTTCCTGTTTGGACAGTCAGTAATATAAGACTGAAATGTTTTGACAGTTTATACCATCGGTTGCATCTAAGCGTGCACATGTGAGGATTAAACATTTTTAAAATAATGTTCTACTTGGGTTGAAACATGATATGTTTTGCCACCAAACATTCAAAGTTTGGAGTAGGTGGCTGTTGTCGACTTGATTTGTTTTCGCTCAACAAAATATTCTTTGCAAGAATTTTTAGCTGTTTCTGAGCGAGAAATATGCCTGAAAATTGAGAAAAATGAAATATGAGCAGAACATGCTGATCAAAAAGTTTAAACATAATTATAAGCGACTTACGTTTGGCGCAACAGTTTGCTTTAACAGGTGTCAAACTTCAATGTTTGGTGGCAAAACACGTCATGTCTGGAACCCTATTTATATAACGTTTTTTTGTCTTGTGTCCACGCTTAGATGCAACCAACGTTAGTTAGCATTAAGTACATAATTATGTTGTTTAAAATCATAGGTTCTTGTAGAAAGATTTGTGCAACATATTTTCTTGAAAGCTCTGGGTCCTTTTGAGAACCGTAATTTCATTCTGACAGAAACTCTTGATCGGCACACTAAATGTCCATGATAACATTGTATACTTAATGGTTCATGAACCATATGGTGCTTTTTGTAATTTTTTGTGGTAAATTGCAATCTTCCTAATGATATTAACAATCAAGATCCTAATTCGTCTTGTACCTATCATGGAAAATAATTCAAAGTCCAAATCATTACTAACAAAAGATGTCCAATTTGTAAGCAGCTGTCTGTGTACATTGAATTTGTTTGGTGAAACAAAGTACTTTTTGTATGGTAATGTGACTATTAATAAAGACACAATGTACTCAGTTAGTTGAAAATAATATAATGACATACATGTAATACTAGGGAGTGAAATGGTGTATTATCCAAAAAGGTAACTTCATAGGCAAAATAAAATCACTNAGCAGCTGTCTGTGTACATTGAATTTGTTTGGTGAAACAAAGTACTTTTTGTATAGTAATGTGACTATTAATAAAGACACAATGTACTCAGTTAGTTGAAAATAATATAATGACATACATGTAATACTAGGGAGTGAAATGGTGTATTATCCAAAAAGGTAACTTCATAGGCAAAATAAAATCACTCTTTTTTCATTTTAACCAAATGAATGTTCTTTACTATAGCAACACTGTACTGGTGATATTACAGCACTGGAAGTATGGTATTTCTAAGAATTTTTGGTAACTTCCTAGAACAAACATATGTGCATTTTTTATCAAATTTGGACAAAATTTTCCAGCAATGAGTGGAAACTTTGGGATGATCCAGATCAGGATTTATAATCCAAGATCACTCAGATCATTTTTATGGCGCATCAAAGGTCCATGAAGACTACAGGGATGAAATTATTGCATGATTTTGTCCTCTAATCATAATAGACCAGTTGTGTATGGAACATAATACAAAGGTCTGGACACATCTGTTTGGACAGGAACTTATTGCATGCAAGTTACGATATGTGTAGTTCCACGTTGTCACTAAAAGTCCTTTGTAATACTTTGCATGGAGATGAGGCTGTGTGTCAAGCGGTCACTGACAAGAGGTTATAAAGCAATGGAAGGTATAAAAAGCATCACGCACCCCAAGCTGAGACTGTGGTTGCTTACGAAAGGTAGTTGTTTATAAGAAATTCCAACTATAGGACTTTGACTGAAAAAATTTGGTGGTTTGGATTGCAGGGTTCTCATTAAGTTTTAAAGTACACAGCTATGACGTAAACGTAGGCGGCTTGATAACTGAGTGCTGTAAACAATTTCAGGCTTTCACTCTCTCACTATACCCTATTTCTCCAAAAAGTAGACGGCTCAAACCTCCAAGTAGCTGGTTTTTCAGCCGGCTGCCAGCACTTTATTGGTGGCTACTTATGGGAGGTTAGGTCACACATAGAGGTTCGACTGTATGGTACAGTTATGCAGCTTAGTTTACTTTTTAATGGTAGATCCTGTGGATTTCGCATAAAAATACAACCTCATAATAATTTATTACTATCACTTTGCCAATAATTTATTACTAAATTGGCTGGCTGCCAGTCAGAATTTCAAAAATGTGCGTATAAATAGTCAATATTCACACAGTAGGCTATTTACAGGCAAAACAAACCTCACAATAAATGATTCTTAAAAATGTTTTGCCATTTAAATTATTATTAATGTAAAAATAATTTAAATACCTTTAAAAAACATGCTTGATGCATGCATGAAAAATATGGAAAATTAAAAACCCACATTTTAATACAAGTGTAAATGTTATTAATTTCAATCATGATTCACGTCTTCAAAAATATGAAAAATTATGATGAAAATGCCAAAATGTTGCTTGAACTCACACATTAGGCACCAATACTCCATAACTTCTTTCAAGCAGGGAAAGTCATGTAACTAAGTAATCCTCTTACCCTCTTAGGCAGGTCAAAGATTGAATTGTTGCCACTGCCTGTCTTGTCTACTGTTTACAAGACTAAGGCAGATGTTTTGGTAAGAAGCTGATCAGTCAAGGTTAAAAGACTCATAAATTAATGACTATTATGATGACGTGGAACACATTGGATCAAACTTAAATCACAATGTGAATTCAGCCTTACAGTGAGCTTCGTTTGTCACACGACAAATTTACTTACAATTGTCCAGTGGGGAACTGTTGTATAAAAATATCATAGTGGTGTTTCTGGAAAAGTTTCAGCCTTTCTTCCTTTTCTTTAAGCGTCATTTGCAAATTGTCAATAATGAAAGTCATTAGTTCACCCAAAGATTGGTTGGTTGTAAATTGCTTTTGGTGTTTGAACTCCAAAGCTGATATCTGGTGACAAATCTTTGACTGTAGGAGTGGACACATTCCCCTTTGAGTGCAAGACATATTTCTCTTGAAATGGTCCTTGAGATGAGCAGGTGTTGTAAACATCTGTTTCTGATGTTTTATCATGGACAAAACTAGTTGCTGGCCAGCATCCTGGAAATGGAAAAACAATTGTGTTGAAATGTGTAGTAAGTGGTAAATAAAGCAGCCAGTGAATAGGTTCCCAGAGCACAGGCAAATATAGGGTGGTTAGCATGGTATAGAAGGATTTTTGAACCTGACTATAATCTTATGGTGAAAGGTTTGAATCCAGGAGTCATTTCAAAAGTAGGTTGAGTTTGATCGTCGGGGTGAACGTAGTCCTGAATAGGACTCTGACTCTGAAGATGACTACCTCACAGGTTGTCGAAACGTCAGTCACTGTCAACAACAACAGTCCTATTCAGGACTACGTTCACCCGGACAATCAAACTCACCCTACTTTTATAATCTTACTTTTTATATGGAGGGGAAGGACAAATAGTGTGGCCTTTTCTACCTTAGTCTCCTCTGCAGCCATTTTTGGGATGTCACACAATGCTCCCAAAAATGGCTGTGAAGATTTTCAAAGAAAATCTGCAAGAGGAGGTTAAACCACAGAGCCACAGAGGCACTACAAGGAAATGAAGATGATAAGACTTTGCTCCTGTGATTGCAATTGCTTTGCTGTGTTGCATGTATTGGGGTAGATAATGAGAACACACACAAGACAGTGCTGGCTATTAGGCTATTCTGTGCATGACTTTGTCTGTGCTGTTGTTAAATGCTTGTCTTACACATGTAATTGGTACTCGGCTGCATTTTGACTTTTTACCCATAACTACAGAATAAAAGAACAGATTATGTACCTTATTTTGAATGGTCTTCGGTAAGATAGCTCCCATGAACTTCTTGACGATAAATCGTCCGCTTTTTGTGTCCACAGACCTCCCTATGAAGCTTAACAACTTTTTGAGGTGTTCTTGCTGGCTTGCTGGTAGCATCACTGCCAAAAGTGGCAGAAATGTAACAACTTTGGAGCAGTCGTTAGCCAGAGCACAAATCATGCCATCAACTAAGTCTGCAAAGTTTGTGGGAATGAGCGAATCAAGAAGTGATCCATAATACTCTGCAAGGATCTGCTGGATCCCCATCTCTTTGATATTTATTGTGTTTAAAAAGCCTGTGTCCCCACGCTGTGGCAATGGGTGTTCTTTCTGCAAATGAATGCATTCCATCCCTGGTGTTAACCAAACATTGCATAATTCTGAACTGTTTATTTCTTTATCAGCATTCTGTTTCAACTGCAAATTCTCAGCACATGATCTTGGAATATTATTTGATATGACTATCACTCCCAGGCCATCATGTGTCAATGGTGGGGTCAGTATATCCTCCAGAAATGGAACATCTGTGAGCTGTAGGAGTTCAGATAATGCAACTTCAAACCAAATCTCACTGTCATTACTGCGATCAGACGTTGAATCAGACAGAAGAGCCAGCTTGTTCTTTCTGTTTTTAAAAGAAATGATGCAATTTCAGGTGTTGCACGGGATCATCCTACATCATACACAAAAATTCATGAAACCCCTCCTCTCTGTTTTAAATACGTCTTCTCTTATGGATGAAAATTACTGTTTATTTAATTTTTATTCAGCCTTGTTTTTTCAAAAAATTAAGTCACACAAATGATTTTGTTTTTTTCTCATGACAATGCTGTCTACTATTTTGACCTTGCATCAGCTATTCATTGGGTGGTGACGGTAAGCAGTTGGTCTTGCAGTCTCCTACACTGATCCTTCCCTATCAATTCAAAAGGGGTTATGCAAAAGAACCTACACTACTGTTTGAAAACAGAAGGAACAGGACGTACCGGTAGACCCGAATGGCATGGCATGGTGTCTTATGGACATGCAGTGATTGACTTTACGCCGTTATGAATAAATAAATGAATAAGTAAGTAACTATTTTATAATGAAATACATGTATGCTGAAAGGGATCTTGCCTTTCAGACTGCAACTTGGCCAGTTTGATTTTGTGAACACGTGTTAAACAACCATTTCTCTTAGTCTCCTTCTTCTTTTCTCTGTTCATCTAAAAAACGCACTATTTGTCAAAATTTTCAGATTTTTCGATCCTTCAGAGTGTTGAAAATGCAGGGCCTGAGCGTAAAAGTTTATTATATATAAACACATGTAAATGTATGATGATTTTAGCATTTATGCAAAAACCAGAATATAAACGCTATGATAAAAAAATATAAATCATAAGGATCACCGCAGGCCGAACATAAATTTTAGCCAGTCTTTGTTCTGATACCTTATACCAAGCCCAGCGTCCAAACTGAGTCTTCTTCTCTTCTTTGGTACTTCTAGCGAACTCGAACAATGAACTTCAGGAGACTGCAAAGTGGATGATGGCATTAACAAAATATCAGCCAATCTCGTTTGCGCCCTGGGAGTAAAATTTAACGACATCCTTCTCGTTATTCTTTTTTCGCTTCTTCCCAGCAAACTTCTTCTTCTATTTATCTTCCTCTCAACTTGAGAAGGAGAAGAAGTAACATGCTCAAATGGACCGGGCGAAAATCTGTACAACTTGTTTCCATCCTCGAAGCTGTCTCTCTTTGATTTGCCGCTACCGCCATCTGAAGTTACACACTCGATGACCTTTTTCTCCAGCAGAATCTGACAGAGAGAACGCACTTGGCTGCGAGTAGCATCTTTAGACAAATCAGGATTGCTGTGGACGTAAGTGTGGAGAACTTCAACCACATCACCACCACGAAAACAATTTTCGTAGTACTGAAACTTCCACCTTCTTCGACGCTGTTCGACGCTCGTTCGCAGATGTTCGATGAGTTCGTTCCAAATTTTTGTTGCCTTGAAAGGTTCTCTACTCAGATCATTGTCATTGCCAGAGCGGTATAATTTCTTACGTTCATTCATGATATGCAGCTGTCAACTTGACGTTATCTTTTTGAAATCTTTAAAATATTTTAGCTAAAGACTAAAGTTACAAAAACTTCTTGCCGCAGGCAAAACTTGATTTGAATCAACCGCCAGCAACGTGTGACGTCATCGCCGATTGTAGCCTCGTTTCCAAGCGTTTTTTTGATTTTTTCCTTCTTTTTGATTTTTTCCTTCGTTAGCCTGCGTAGCAAGTGTTTCCTCGCGAGGTTCGTCTAGAAAGCTGGGACAAGAGCAAAAAAAAGAATGAATGACGGGGGAGGGGGAGGGGAACGAAGGAACCGCTTGCCCGCAAACCCCACGATTTTGAAAAACTGCGTTCGCCCACGAACGCAGCTTCTGATTGGCGCGGTGCGGGTAGTGTTGATTACTTAGCATTCGAAACATCAATCAAACCAGGTATGCTTTGTTTTCGTGCGTCACAGATCTGGTCTCATCTGTTTTGTGGTCGCAGATTACAAATGCTTTGGACTGATATTTATTGGAATCGTGTATGTGCGAAGGTTTATGAGATCAGAGTCTTCAAAGTACAATTGGAGATCGAGCAGTGGAGACTAGGGAAGGCCGATTGAGAATGACGGCGTGCGGATCTGACTGGAAAAAATGGACTGTTTGTTGGAGATAACATCAACATAAATCAGAACATCGGTACTCGACACTAGCTAAAGCCGCCATGGACAAGCGATTTGTCAGCTTTTTGAAATGAAAAGATTCTTTTTGTTTATTGGAAATTTAGCGGCATCTATTGTAGAAAACGTTTCGACACAGGCTGAAGAGCAGCCGCTCTACAAAACTTCTACCCGGCGGAGTGAATTGTTCCGGACAAATAATTTTTGACGTGTCGACAAGGTTTCAGACGAGATATAGCCACACAATAAAAAACAAGAAACTCCGCAGCAATCGTTCATAGTTTTAACTTTCTTTTATCGTAAATCTTTTTTATTACAGTTCTTGCAATCGCCTGCAACGTGTTCTATTAGAGAACAAAGTAATTTTACAAATCTGGTAATCCAGGGGTAATCTGTTCGTTATGCTTCTATTTTGACGAGCTGTCAATTTACAAATGAACCGAACCGTGAAATATCAAGGGGCGTTTTGCAGAATCGTGGGGTTTGCGGGCAAGCGTTTCCTCTTCTCCCCTCCCCCTCCCCCTTTAACCTTTTTTTTGCTTCCGCTCTAACTTTCGCGCAATAACTCGATTGGAAACGCTTGCTACGCAGGCTATTCCTTCATCCCCTTCGTTTTCGGTGAATTTGGCATTTAAGTACCTCTACAGACACAAACGAAAATTCGCAAATAAGCGACTCTGTATATGTACAGAGTGATGTTTCTTAATATTAACGGAGAGAAATTTTGCAGTTAACAAAATGGTTAACTGCGAGAGAGATTTCTGTTCCTTCATATAAACAGAGACACATTTCGCAGTCGATGAAAAACGGTTAGCTGCGAGATTTGTGTTTCTTACTATAAAGGAAGAGGAGTTTCGCAGTTAATGACAAATGGTTAACTGCGATATTTGTATCAGTATATATATATGCACAGTATTTTTTTTTACTAATTTTACTTTTCACTGAGATAATTAATTGCGAAACTTTGTCGTCTATCTGTAAACATTCTTAAATGTAAAATTTGCATTTATATATTCGACGGCTGTTTCCTCAACTATGAAGCGAGTTCAGTAGGTAAGTTGCTTAAAAAAAAGGCCAAAACGAGAGAAGCAAAGACGAATTTGGCAAGTGAGGCCTAAACAATGAGGGAGGGGCCCAAACAACGAGTGGTGGACCGCAGAAAGGAAAGTGGTAACCGTAACCGGGGTTGTTTACCATTTATAAAATTTTGGTTGCGAATTTTCGTTCGTGTCGTTTACCATTTGCCTAAAATTTCCGGATTGTCACACTTCGTTAGACTGGATTCTAGTTACAACATGAAACTAGGGAGCTAGAACGAAACCTCAAGAAACTTGTAAATGATAAACGAATTTCCATTCGGGACGAACCAAAAAAACGTTTACCATTTACATCCCAACAGGAATTTCCGGGAATTTGTGGTAAATGGTAAACAACCCAAGTAAATGGTCCAGAATACCCGCCGAGAATATGATTCGCTATAGCCAGCCTTTTGTTTTGCCCCCCCCCCCCCCCCCCCCCCGCCCCCCCCCCCCCCGCGTTAATATTTTTTTCCAACACCCCCACAAAAACAAAACACAAAACACACCCACACAAACCCCCCCAAAAAAAAAAAAAAAAATAATAAATGATTTGTGGGGCGTTCTGTTGGAGCGCACGA